TTGGAGTAGTATGAGATTTAATATTTGATAGTTCCTTGAATTGAGAATTAAAGCTAGAAATACAGGTTTTGTGTATGTCGGTAAGTTCGGTAGAAGGTACAATTCTGTTAAGACGGTGATAAATATGATGTAATAAAGTTTCAGTTCTATTAAATAAGTTTTTATCTAGTTTATTTTTAAGACTAGTTAAATTACTTTGCGATTTTATAAGTGACTCCTTTACTTCCTTCAGGTCATCTGTAGGATCTAAATGAGACTCTAAGATATCCTCTGAGGGCAAAAGTTGAGACAGTTTAAAAATTTGCTTTCTCAATTCTTGAACTGATTCACCAGTACCACCACGGAGTTCCACTTCGTACACCAATTCTGATTTTTGTAATGATAGGTATTTAATACTATATGCCATATTGAGAAAAAAATATAGGTGTGTATTGCACCGTTACAAATTTACTATGATTGTTGATTATATAATGATAATGATTACAATGGGTGATACACGGTATATGTACAATAGGTTAACGATATTATAATTATAAAGCTTAGTGCAACAATTGTTAATGCAAAATGTGGGTAGTGCTAATATTTATTGATGAAGTTACGATCAGATGTAATGAGTATTTATTAAAAGTATTATAAGAATATTAGTAGTAATGAGAACTAATGAAGAAGGAATATATGAAAGAAATATTCTATATTAGCTTAATCAACCTTAAAACTATGAAGTAAATTACCATCACCAATGAAAAACCAATAAGAGCTAAATTGTGCGATATGCTCGTGAATGAAACCTATGCTGGGCGCCAGTGTCACACTTTTAGTAGTTTGGTGTTAAAATAAGTTAAATAAAATCCGGATTGTGTGAAAGAATATAATTATATGACATAAGTTATGTAATATATATAGTTAGCACTGTAGTTCATAAGGAGGTTCTTTGTCCATACACAAAATCGCACAATTTAGCATCTAGTAGCACCGAATACCACTGCCCTGGAGTATCCTGCGTCACACGACGGCAGTCGACACGGGTACTAGCGGTGTAGGCCGTTTAGCACTCAGGTCGTGCGGTGTTCCGGGCCGGAGATTTGAACCCTGGAATTACAGAAATAACTGCTACTTTTATAGCCGTCCATAGAACCCTCACTTGTGTTAGCGATGACGCCTTTCATTCCAGAAGCGAGATGAAATGGTGCAGATGGTAATGGCACTAAGCTATGGCTCTCAAAGGTGAGGTAAAAGAGAATAAAGATGGAATAGCTTCAAATAGCTCATATTCTCCTAACTAATTAATAACTATAAACTGATTGTATTCATTAATTACAATTAATTCAACTAGTAGGTAGATGAAAAGCATTTCTATTGTGCAATTACATTGGTATAAATGACATTATGGTATAGTACTATGCTATAGTTATTTTAAGCGTACAATTAGTAAAAACAGTAACAAGTTGTATGGCAGGAACATAAGTTAATTAAGCAGAAAACTTAAGGTCTAGGAGATATAATAGATAGATACAGCTATATAGTGATACAAATTAGTTTCTATATATCAGTGCAATACTCACCCAATTCGGGGTTTATAATTCCTTTAAAAATGGTCTTGCAACTATATACTAGTATATATTGCGAAACAGCAAAATAAAAGCGTAGAATTCCAGCTTAAGAATAGAATCGGTAGCAGAAGCAAGTATGTGTCCACCGTGTAGGTTAGCCAGGGACGAATGAATCTCCACCTAACACGTAGGTGCTGGACGACTTCGATGTCCACCCTCTCACCGGTCTCCGTTGCATCGCGAGATCGGCTTGCATTTAATAAACATACCGTGCAACTCGGGTTTGCTTTCGCATTTATTTTTATTTTATATAATTTTTAATAAAGTGCATAGTATGAGTAAAGAAGTTGTTACATACCCCTCTTTTTAGGTTAGGATTTTTCCTAGTAAAATCCACTAATAAAAAATATATACCTATGTTATCTTAAAATCTTTGACATGCCATGTACCTAGTTTATTCCCTGACATATCTTCAAGTTCGTAGACTAACCTAGATTTTTTGTCCGTAATACGACATTTAATGAATTTAGGTGCTAATTTTTTTGAAAATCTATTGTCTTTGTCGCTTTGATAAAAGGTACGTTTCCATATAATGTCTCTAATATTAAAATCTACATTTTTACGGCGAAGATTATAATTGGAACAATTCCGAGAATGGGCTTTGATGAGCGCTGCTTGGACTTTATCAAAGATTTTGCGCAAGCTACCTTGATTTTCTACATATTCATCGCGGGGTAGAAATACTATGTGGTCCCCGATATCTGAGTCGATATAATGAGATCCGCATATTATTAGTTCCCGGCCGAATACCAAAAACGATGGTGTATAGCCAGTTACTTCGCTGACTGAACTATTTAAAGCGAATTGTATTTTAGGCATTAGGTTGTCCCAGGATCTATGATCATTATCGATAAAGGAAGAGATAGCAGTGATAATTGTTTTATTGTACCGTTCTACCATGTTAACTTGAGGTGTGTACAAGGGTGTATAAAAAATATTGGGGATACCGTAAGAAGAGAACATATTTTTCATAGTATTACTGACAAATTGTCTTCCATTATCCATTAAAATAGTGCTAGGTATACCATGAATTAAGAAAATATTTTCCTCTAAAATTTTGCAAATTATATCAGCTGTTGCACGTCTTATAGGGAATAACAAGCAATATTTAGAGAAACAACAGGTGACGACTAGTAAAAAGGTGTTCTGTTTTCTAGAGACCGGTAGAGGTCCTACTAAATCGACGCTTATCATTTGAAATGGTCGGCTGCAGTGTTTTGGTCTCCCCATCGTACCTGGAGTGCTATGGTTTGGGTGCTTCTGAGCGAGACAAGTTTCGCAACTAGTAACAAAGTTTGTTACGTCGTGGTGTAGACCAGGCCAAAAGTATTTTAGTGATAAACGTTTGAGTGTTTTAAAAATACCGAAGTGTCCTGAAGTAGGTTCTGAGTGATTTTGATGTATTGCTTTTTGGCGATACTCCAAGGGTATCACTTCTTTCCACTCAAATTCCTTGGTCAGTGGATTGAGGGATTTCATGTATCGGTACAGCTTACAATTAGCGATACGGTAATTTAGAAAAGAAGATGGGTTTTTTTGGCAGCCATTAAATATGTTTAAATACCAGGGATCATTAGTTTTAGGGTCGGTTTCAGTCTGTCCGTCTGTTGAATCATCAATAGCAGATATAGGTACAGCACGAGACAAGCTATCCGGTACGACATTATCCGTGCCTCTGCGGTGTTTAATTTCGAAATTGAAAGCAGAAAGACGAACACCCCAGCGCGCAAGTCGTCCGGTGGGATTATTAAGATTAAGAAACCATTTAAGTGAAGAATGGTCCGTGTAAACAGAGAACTTAAGACCATTTTCTAAATAGCAACGCCAATGTTCAATGGCAACTACGACGGCTAGTGCTTCACGTTCTGTAGCACTATAATTGCGTTCTTGTTTAGAGAGAGACTTACTCATATATGCTATTACTTTTTCTTCACCCTTGAGATTCTGTGTGAGGACGGCACCTATTCCATAATCGCTAGCATCAGTGTGTACCTCGAATGGTTTAGAATAGTCTGGACAAGTAAGAATAGGTGCTGATGCTAAATGCTCTTTTAATTGCCTATAAGCGTAGTCAGCTTCTTGTGACCAAGAGAAAGGGGGAGCCTTCTTGCCTTGTGATGTAAGCTTATTAAGAGGGGCCGCTAGACTACTGAAATTTGGTATAAAACGGCGATACCAAGAAGCTGTACCAATGAATCGTCGTACCTCTTTACGATTAGTAGGAATTGGATAATTAGTAATAGATGCAACTTTATCAGGATCGGCGTGTAGTCCATTAGCGTCAACTATATAACCCAAGTATTTAAGTTGTTTCCTGAAAAATTGGCTCTTTTGAAAATTTATTGTAAGGTTCGCCAATTTTAATTTTTCTAACACATTGTTTAGCAAGTGTATATGTTGACTAAATGACTCGGAGACAATTATAATGTCATCAATGTAAACGAATACTCGAAATTCGAACTCAGGGCCATAAAACAATTCGTCAACGAGTCTCTGTTGTGTTGCAGGTGCGTTAGTTAACCCAAAGGGCATAGATTTAAATTGGAAGGTACCACGAGTTGGAATGTAAAATGCAGTTTTGCATCTGTCCTTTTTTTTTATTAAAATTTGCCAAAAACTTTTTGAAAGATCTATACTACTGAGATATTTGGCATCGCGTAGATTGTCGAGTATTTCTGTAATGTAAGGTAAGCTATACGCATCTTTTTTTGTTACTGTATTAAGCTTTCTGCTATCTAAACAGAACCTGAGCTCACCGTTTTTTTTAGGTGTTAAAAGAACGGGAGACGACCAAGGGCTTTCACAGGGTTCGACAACATCATCCTTTAACATCTCGTCCAACTGTTCTACTAATATTCTTTGTTTTTCAGGTGACATACGATAATAGCGTTGACGTATGGGGGCAGCATCCCCAGTATCAATGGAATGCGTGATTAGTGTAGTGCGACCTAACCCACGCTCCTCGTATGAAATGTCACGGTACTGAGAAATAAGATTATCGGCCATATTCCTCTGGTCATCTGTCAAATGCTCGTAGGAACATAATGCTATAGCACTGTCTAACGCATTACTCATCATGTAGGTTTCAGAGTCCTTGTGAAATGATATTGCGTCTAAATGTTTAGGAAAGAGACCGAACGTTCGCCAAAAATCAATACCTAGGATAACGGAGTTTTTTATACCTGGTACTACGTAGGCATTGACTGTGTGCATTTGTCTTTCAAAATAGATAGGGAGACGAATAATTCCGATAGCATTTAGCTTCTCTCCGCCGGCAGCAACAAATTGAACAGGGGTAGTGTCTTGTATTTTGAGACCCATATTTACAAAAAAATCATGATATCCGTTCCCAATAATAGTAACGCAAGAACCGGTATCTAACAATCCAGTTATTAACTTATCTAATACATTAATTTTAACGTATGGTCGAGTTCTATCGAGGATATTTTTATTATTATCGACTGAAGCAACCGAATTAAAGGTGAAAAAATTTTTAACAAATTTTAACCAATCCTTCCATTCCTGAACTCGGCCACTCCAATCGAATTTATTTAGTTTTTTGCCGGTTCCTGTTTGTGAGTGGTATTGCAATCAGGACATTCCGGGTAGCGCACGTCCTTTTTACCACATTTAAAGCAGATAGGGAACCGCTCCTCACTGCAGCTGCTTAAAGAGTGACTGTTAGATCTACATCTAGGGCAGAACACCTGTCTAGATTGATCATTTGTATATATAGCGCTCACGTTAAAATTTTGATTTTTATAACTATTTGATTGATTGAAATTAGCATTAGTAAGGTTTGTTTTATTTTGGTAATTATAGGTAGCGTTTTGATTAAATTGTTTATTATAATTGTATTTAGTTTGTTCAGATTTATATTTATAAGCAAATTCAGGGGCGAGTGTACTACTAGTTACCCTAGGTGGCTCATGAAATTGCAAAAATCTAGAATTAACAGTCTCGTAATTACGGCAGACCGATTTTAATTCATCCATAGATTTAATATTAGGAGATGCTGCTAGAGTATTTGCGTAGCAGGGGCGGATATTGTGCATTAATATATCGAGTTTATCTTCATTATTCATAGGTTTGCTGAGACGAGAAAACATGCCATGCATAATAGACAGATATATTGTAATGTTTTCGTGTTCTCCCTGTGTACGCGATCGAATTTCAGCAGCGAGTCTATAGTCATAGTCAGAACTACTAAAATCTTCTCTAAGTAATGCACAGAGGTCATTCCATGAGTTTACTCGGTCTTTATTATAACGATACCAATGTAGTGCGTCATCGACAAATATTTCATAGGCTAAAGTTAGTATTTTATCAAAGGTAATACCCCTAGATTGCACATATTCTTCTACTCTTTGTATAAAGGAATGAACACAGGTTTTCCCTGAATATTTAAGTTTATTTAGATCTGTAGATAGATTACGTTCACAAGTGACAGATATGGTGGGAGTGTCCGTAGTATTATCAGGGGCTGAAGCCGAACTATTAGTTGGAGTAGTATGAGATTTAATATTTGATAGTTCCTTGAATTGAGAATTAAAGCTAGAAATACAGGTTTTGTGTATGTCGGTAAGTTCGGTAGAAGGTACAATTCTGTTAAGACGGTGATAAATATGATGTAATAAAGTTTCAGTTCTATTAAATAAGTTTTTATCTAGTTTATTTTTAAGACTAGTTAAATTACTTTGCGATTTTATAAGTGACTCCTTTACTTCCTTCAGGTCATCTGTAGGATCTAAATGAGACTCTAAGATATCCTCTGAGGGCAAAAGTTGAGACAGTTTAAAAATTTGCTTTCTCAATTCTTGAACTGATTCACCAGTACCACCACGGAGTTCCACTTCGTACACCAATTCTGATTTTTGTAATGATAGGTATTTAATACTATATGCCATATTGAGAAAAAATATAGGTGTGTATTGCACCGTTACAAATTTACTATGATTGTTGATTATATAATGATAATGATTACAATGGGTGATACACGGTATATGTACAATAGGTTAACGATATTATAATTATAAAGCTTAGTGCAACAATTGTTAATGCAAAATGTGGGTAGTGCTAATATTTATTGATGAAGTTACGATCAGATGTAATGAGTATTTATTAAAAGTATTATAAGAATATTAGTAGTAATGAGAACTAATGAAGAAGGAATATATGAAAGAAATATTCTATATTAGCTTAATCAATCTTAAAACTATGAAGTAAATTACCATCACCAATGAAAAACCAATAAAAGCTAAATTGTGCGATATGCTCGTGAATGAAACCTATGTTGGGCGCCAGTGTCACACTTTTAGTAGTTTGGTGTTAAAATAAGTTAAATAAAATCCGGATTGTGTGAAAGAATATAATTATATGACATAAGTTATGTAATATATATAGTTAGCACTGTAGTTCATAAGGAGGTTCTTTGTCCATACACAAAATCGCACAATTTAGCATCTAGTAGCACCGAATACCACTGCCCTGGAGTATCCTGCGTCACACGACGGCAGTCGACACGGGTACTAGCGGTGTAGGCCGTTTAGCACTCAGGTCGTGCGGTGTTCCGGGCCGGAGATTTGAACCCTGGAATTACAGAAATAACTGCTACTTTTATAGCCGTCCATAGAACCCTCACTTGTGTTAGCGATGACGCCTTTCATTCCAGAAGCGAGATGAAATGGTGCAGATGGTAATGGCACTAAGCTATGGCTCTCAAAGGTGAGGTAAAAGAGAATAAAGATGGAATAGCTTCAAATAGCTCATATTCTCCTAACTAATTAATAACTATAAACTGATTGTATTCATTAATTACAATTAATTCAACTAGTAGGTAGATGAAAAGCATTTCTATTGTGCAATTACATTGGTATAAATGACATTATGGTATAGTACTATGCTATAGTTATTTTAAGCGTACAATTAGTAAAAACAGTAACAAGTTGTATGGCAGGAACATAAGTTAATTAAGCAGAAAACTTAAGGTCTAGGAGATATAATAGATAGATACAGCTATATAGTGATACAAATTAGTTTCTATATATCAGTGCAATACTCACCCAATTCGGGGTTTATAATTCCTTTAAAAATGGTCTTGCAACTATATACTAGTATATATTGCGAAACAGCAAAATAAAAGCGTAGAATTCCAGCTTAAGAATAGAATCGGTAGCAGAAGCAAGTATGTGTCCACCGTGTAGGTTAGCCAGGGACGAATGAATCTCCACCTAACACGTAGGTGCTGGACGACTTCGATGTCCCCCCTCGCACCGGTCTCCGTTGCATCGCGAGATCGGCTTGCATTTAATAAACATACCGTGCAACTCGGGTTTGCTTTCGCATTTATTTTTATTTTATATAATTTTTAATAAAGTGCATAGTATGAGTAAAGAAGTTGTTACACTACTTTATAGTGCGAAAAAAGTATTGTAAGGGATTAAAAGCGGAGATGAAAGGTTGTATAAAAGTATCGTCATTGTTTAAGTGAAACAATGAAACTTTTTTAGGTTATAATCTAAATATGTTTCCTTTATTTGGTCAATTTCATTATACCACGCTGACGAAGTCGCGGACACACCTAATATATATATAAGGATGGGACCTTTAAATCAAAACAAAGCCTTGAAAACACAACTATTATATATAAATAAAATAATTATTTGCTAAGTATAATATTTAGAACAAGTGAATATGGCAATAATGTATCCGACTCTTATAATAAATTATATTGTATCTATTAATAAATAAACTGAATTAATATGTAAGAAAAATTAATTAGTAAATTTATGTTATAGTAATTTCATCTTCCTGTCCTTATCCCAATTATTTGTTACTCATATTACTTAAGGTTTTGGCTTTTAGTTGTACAATCGGCCAGCATCCTGACATCAACCCTCTAGGAATAATATAATAAAAAAATATGGTTATTATTTGGTTATTATTTTGGTTATTATTTAAAAAAATCCAATAAGTAGTTTATGTTACTCAGTTAAGTAGAAACATATCACATTATTAATTAAAATATTACAAGGATCAAAATGGTTCATACTAAATCCACACCGATTGCGCTACACGGTTATTTGCGTCTGTGTGCGTGTATTACTGTGTGTGTGCGTAAATCCATGCGATTTAACCTAAAGTTGAGCGGCATCATTTTGTAATAGTCCTCTTAAATACTTTCTTTAGTCGCTTATGCGTTGCAAATGGTATAACATATTTCTGTTAACATACCTAATTGTTTGAAACTTCGAGTCGCGTATTTTTGACTGAAAAATCGTACTCTACGAGTATCGTAATTTAAGAAGTCCCTTACATGAGCGTATACAATTCCAACGAACCTGATATTTATTTCACTGTTACTGGTCTAATGGTTGTTTTGCAATTTAAATGCCGACCTATTATGATCTATGCATGTTTTCCTAATGTTGCCATTTAAATCAATTTTGTTGCATCGAGCTTACTAAATAATGCAGTAAGCGTTTCAATTAGCATACATTTGTTGTACACTTTAATAAGAGATTTTATTATTGACCTGGGCGATCACCCACTTGACTATTGGTACTTAACACTGTTAAATAAATTATATGTTGCAAGCAATGATAAAAATACAAAAAATATCTAAGGAAATGTGCATAATACGTTGTTTATGCGTAGTTAAGTGTGAATCTTAACGTGTTCAGACCAACAGTAAAGTATATGGAGCACATACAATGAATGTAAACATATCGGTTTATAAATTGAGAGGAAGTGTTGCCATTTTTTATGTATATATACCTATATATTTTATTTCTTAAGTAGAGTAAAGAAACTATATAGAGAGCACAGAACATTAATTGTTACAATGCTAAGTAATAATTGATGGAAAAAATATTTTCAAGTGTTGAGGTATCTAAAATAAATTGCTCTTTTATAATTAGAGTTTATTTAATACTACATTTGCGTTGAAAAACATTTAAAAGATTCATTATGGCTTTAAAAATGAGTATAATTGGTGGCAAATATTTGTATGAACTTGTTTATTTATTAAGAGTATGGTTTGCATGGTTACCTTCATTGTACGTAGTGCTCCATCTGACGTTGTTGATCTGTTAACGTGTCGTTGTGTTACGGTGTGTGTTTTAGATATATTTTGTTTGTATTACCCTTATTTATCGTAAGTAATATGATATTTCAGGCCAGTGCTTTTCACTACACTTCGCTACTACCTCTATCACAATTTTAACTTTATCTCTCTTACTAAAGTACAAATCGTTAACACCTTTGTATATGTCTAAAATATTTATTTCTTACCATAAAATTGTTAGTTTGTTGTAAACGTTTATTGTTTTTTTTTTATATTAAATTATGTTAGTATTTTAAGGTGTTTGGTAAATGATTTTGTATGACAAGGGTCCAGGGGTTTTCGGTACCATCAGTAGATTCAGTATGTAATGTTCATGAGTCATCATGTCATGAACTCAGAGATGAGTCTCCATTTTACCACTATGCACTCGTAATTATGCTTTAGAAAGTTCGCAATCGGAATTAGCCTAACGGTTGAGGTGCAATGTGCCTTGCATGGGGACATAGGAGCGCAATGATAAAACGACCGATATCCCCCGTACGGGGACATACGAGTGCAAAGGGTTAATACACAGAGCTTGTATCATATAAACATATACAAACTGAATTTGTGAGTTTCTTTATGTTAAATGAACTTGGGTTGACAGTATCATGGACAAATGTACTATTATTGGCAAACTCAAGTGACTTGTATTGTACAGTATTATATATACCATGTAATTTATAAATTGGTGTTTGTTACGCTATACCTACCTGTTAGTGGACGGTATTATGTTAGTGGATTTTATAAACCTTTTTTATCGGTATTGAAACTGTGATTAGAATAAAACTGTTTTGAAAGTGAAAGTAATTAATAATAATTTATTATGTTGTATGGATTCAGAACTATCAACGTTACACTCCTGAACGGGTGTCGCTTGTATCTGGTCTTATACCTATTGTACCAATTTATTTTGTTATTCAGATAACTATTTATTTACTTATGTCAATCGTGATGGCTACGTTTCGAATGAGTATAATAAAAAAATATGACTATTCAAAACTGCTTATATTAAGTTTATTTGAATAAAGATTATTTTTATTTCAACAAAGAGGGCGAGAAATAGAACTAAAGACTGCTAGAACAGTATACAGAATTGGCTACTTGACAATTTTCTGAAAAATATTTTATAATTTTTGTAGACTTATTTAAAACCCCCCCTACAATTTTATTTTACTTTATAAATGACATCCTATCAGTTTTCAATTGATTATTTATCCCATTATTTGGGGTCGGTGCAGTATGCCCTCTATATATTATACACAAGTAAAAATACAAAATGTCATTTGTCCCACGCGCTACGTATACAATGCGAGGTGTGGAAACGCTAATTAATTTAATAATAAATCAACGTGAATAGGAGAAGCGAGAATTGGTCGTATAACTCAGTCCACGTACAACACATCCTTGTCGAATAGTGTACGTTTAAGTACTAAGTTCTGAGTTTGAAATGCAATGAAGATCATGAAAAATATGTATTTAAGGAGCTTGTTAAACAGAAATAAATATGTTTACTGTGCAAATTTCTGTTATTTCAGGTATATTAATCAAAAATATTTGGTTAATTCTGGTCTATCCCGGGCTATTCAGTTATCGGTGCGCACCTACTAGTCAGTACATCACACTTTGATGATAGTAAATTATACAAATACTAACATCGAATTTATTATAAAATTAAACTCTTGCCAACACACTTGTTTCCTTGTCTCGATTGAAGAATAAGATATAAACTCGTAGTCATCCGGAATGGTAACACATGTGAGGTACTACAGGCATCAAGTAGCCCATCAGCTCGTATGCCATTTCAATTATATAAGAAAATTGGTAATGATTGATCTCGGCAATGTTTGCTTCCATTGATTTTGTGTAAATATATAAAATTAAAAGCTTTACTACGTTATTATTAAACTAAGTACTTAACAAATGTAACTTGTTATTTATAATTCCCAAATACTATTGTACCTTGAGTTCGCCAATACATTATAAAACGAATAGTTGTGAACTAACGAATGAATGTAGGTATAAATGTATATACCAGAGCATATATTGATGTAGAAATTGTGAATTAATGTACAGCACAGCAAAATGTTAATAATTATCCAACTAATTACCTAAAATATTTATTTTAACATTCACATGAATTTAAATAAAGCGTTTTATATACTTATTATTATATTTTATTTATCCTATTCACAAGATATACTGTACTATAATTGGTTCTCGGCTGAAAAGAAAAATATACATTGTAATTGTAGGGACCTTTTTTTTAAACTTGTGGATAAACTTCAAAGGCCCGGCCGGAGGGATGGCGAGGTGGTGTGGTATTTATACCCACTAAAAACCACAAGATGTACCTGCAAGCGCGTATGCCGGAGTTGGGGCATGGGGCATTTTGCTCGTGCATTCCACCTCGGATGGTAGTAGGTACCTACAGTACTTATATATGTTTGAGAGGTTGAAGGTTCGATGATCTCGCACAATACTAACATTTATGGTTGATGGCCTAGGAGGTCTTTTAGCAGTTTTAGCACCCCACTTTACTTCCGATGGTCGAGTGTTCGTATCGGTTATCGGTGTGTGTGTGTGTGTGTGTGTGTGTGTGTATCGGTTTGGGTATTTTCTATGTATATTATTTATGTATTTACAAAAAGTCTTTATATCTGTTGTCTAGTAGTCATAACACAAGCTCTGCTTACCTCGGGACTAGATGACGCTGTGTTAATTGGCCGGGGTTATTTATTTGTAATTATGAGCGAAAAGCGGATGTGGGCAATATACATCCGCATCTCGTATCAAGTAACGAGGATGGAATATTTAAATACTACCTTTGTAAAAAAATAGTATTACCACATTACTGTATGTGACCCGGTTTATCCAAGTAGGTTATAAATTTTGTGTATATATTTAAAAACATACTATAATCAGTTGTCTAGAAACCCAAAAGCACAAAATCTGCTTGATCTGGGATTAGATGGCGCTGTGTAAATTGTCCAGCATTATATATTTACTATTCACCTCAGTGGTCTAACTTCCAAAGATCATGGGTTATATGCCTTGCATGATACAAACATTTGTTTCTTTGAGTAAGATTTACAAAGAAAACACTTCGTATTAGCAGTATTAGTATGGTTGTTTACTATGTATATTATGTATTTATAAAATAAAAAAATATTGCTATCAGTTATCTAGTATCCACAACACAAACTATGAAAACCTTGAGACTGAATGGTGCTGTAAAAATGTCTAAATGAAAGTGGAAGTATGTGATCAGACAGTGGCATGACTTATAAGCGGAGAAACTAACAGCGATACCGTTTTATATTAATACAGGTATATTGGTCACATAAACTTTATTCTAAAAAGTACAATGTACAAAAACTACTGCAAAAGGTATTTTTTTACGTTTCATTGTGTAACCTAACCTAACGAAAAATAGTTGCGTGTGTCCGTAAGACGACTGATTTTGATCGTGTATGACAAACAAGGGTTCCACGGAAATAGCTAAAGGAAACAACGGTTTATAATCACATAATTATATTATAAAATGATTTAATTACAATAAACAGAATAAGTATCATAATGTACCTACAGTACGAACAACTTATATTACGCAGAAGCTGACAGGACGTACTTCTCTCATATTTACATTTTGTACATTGAGCGCTCGATTCGGTCATCGTAATACTTAACTTACGTCCCTCGCGTCACTAACAATAACTTTATCGACAATAAATAGGGCTGGGGAGGGGTCACGAGCGAGGGCGGGGAGGGGAGGGGGCGGGGGACTGGAGACGGGGACCGCGCGGCGTCACCGGTATCTTATATATTACAAGGCGACGCGCCGCGCCTCGGCTATGTACACTACAACTGCTCGACGAACTTAGTGAGCTGGTCCTGCGGCGTCATCGGCGGCAGCTGGTCGTCGGGCGGCGGGTGCGGCGCGGGCGGCGCGGGCGACTGCCGCAGCAGCAGCAGCTCCGACGGCGTGGGCGGCCGCGACGACGGCGTGGCGGGCGGCGAGCGCTGCAGCACGCCGCCCACGCCGCCCACGCCGCCGCCCGGGAACCCGTACCGCGCGCCCAGCCGCGCCGCCGCCGCGCCGCCGCCCGCGTACGGCGCGCGCATGCCCAGCATGCCGCCCACCGCGCCCACGCCGCCCACTCCGCCCGCGCCGCCGCCCGCCTGCTTGTTGAACCACCCGCCCGCGCCCGCCGGCGGCATGCTGCCCACGCCGCCCACGCCGCCCACCCCACCGACGCCGCCGGCGCCACCCACTCCTCCCACCGTCCCCACGCCGCCCATGCCAACGTTTGACACATTTCCCACCTATGGACAAATGTATTCACTGTTATAACGATATATTTTTAATAATCTTTAAGAAATATAGGCCGATTTTCATTATATATATCATCTTTCAGCAGGTGTATCATTTTTGTATTCGTAACGCAAGTTTTATAGATAATTCAAAGTAGACAGAAATAAAGATTAGAGTTTAGAGCTGACAATATCAAATATATCAATTTACAAAATACTTCATTATTTTTAATTCTCCTAATGTTGGAACAATAGTTAGTATCTATCTAGCAGGTTGTATAGTATATTTTCCCACCAACTTATCGATTGGACCAATTAAAAATTATTTATACCTATACTTTGTGGCGGAAAGATATATACCGAGTACTCATTTATATCTTTGAGTATGTACTATAAAAAAATTATGACAGTAGTCTATAAATAGTCACGTGTTTTATGACAGAATTAATAGATTACTCTCAAGCTTAACCTAGAGGGTGTAACATTAACGTGCACGGACCTGCGTTTGCTGGGGCAGCATCTGGTGCATCTGCTGCAGCCTCTGCTGCTGCTGCGGCTGCATCATGGTATGCAGCTGCTGTTGCTGCTGCGGCACGCCGCCGCCGCCGAGCCCGACGCCGCACGCGGCGCCCACTCCGCCCACGCCGCCCGCGGCCGATTGTTGGTTTTGGGCGTTCTGCAACAAAACAACATTCAATAGACTGTCATAAACCTTGCATGCAGTTAGGATTTTCTTCCGGAAGGACAAGTTGGGAAATATAATTATTTCCGGTATCTAATGACTTAAGTATTTAATGATGTAAAATAAATCAAACTCGCTTATTCTACTGCAATTTATGCAATTCGGAATTGAAAATGAGGATGTGGTAGACAGAGAACGATGTGCGAGATTAATTGTGCCTATGTTGATTATTGCAATGATTTGACGATTGAAATTAAAACTGTTCAAATGCACGTGCATATTTATATACTATTTTTAGAGCAAATGTAATTACTAAATTGTAGAGAAAACTGATCATATAACCTTTGTATAGGATTAATAATAAAATAATAAACACTTTCGCAATACTATTGTATCAACATTTTAGGATGAATAAATTCAGTGCTTCAGACTTCTGACGATATTAATGTCATTTCTTGACGAATTTATTCTGCTTTTGATGCAATAGGGCGGCTACTTCATACATTCGGTTTGAAATGAGATATATCAGATATACAAAAAAAAATATATAATTTATATAAATTAATTATATAAACAGTATAAAAATATTTAAACCTTTTTCTTGGGTTTCCATGTTTATATTGTAGGATAAAGCGAATGATTGCAGATATACATACGTTAACAGCGAATTGTTACTAATAGTATACATTATTTTCAATGGTCTTTAAACCGACCGTAAGCCCATCCCACTATTTTTTTATTGGGGGTTTGGGCTACTGTGCAAGTGCTTGGATTTGTAGAGCACTGCGACCTACATACATCTATTGTCCTCGCCCTTTTTCCGAAGTCACTACCTACACCCGTCAGGGACAAGAATTGAGGGATATTCTTAGGAGCGATGGCCTTTTATCTCCTCAGGTCAACTTTCCAAAGGAGACATTTCAACATGGGCTACAACCACATAGGATGGGTAGTGGCGTTTACTCTTCAGCTTGGCAAAATATGCAGATTTTTGTTGTGCACAAGCCTAGGTTTGCCATATGCTTTTTCAATTTGCAGTATCCTGTGAGGGCCCTAGTCATAAAGCATATGTTGTCTTTACTCAATAACAATAGTATATTGGAATATTTGTTAGAGTAGTCCGTTATTAGGGCACTTGAATGTAATAAATCTGACCATCCAATCTATTAGAAAGACTGATATCAATTTTACTGTTCAAATATTATTAATGGACATGAAAAATCAAGTCTTTAAATCTATAAACTTTCGTTCTAAATATGGACTAGCCTAATATATAATTGGCCTCGATAAATAATATTTATTTATAGTCAATGGGAACATATTGATACAATGATTGCTACATACATGTCTATATACAAATTTTTGGCCTTCGCAAGTAATTAATTTTAGTTTATCATTAAACATATTATAAAACATTGAATAATGTTGTCAATACCTAACAGAAACCCTTGGCCGTTTTATTGAAGATAACACATTATCAGCACGTGCCACTAATCGTGATCATATAATTATAATTTAACCTCAAGAGATAAAGAATATTTCCTTCATTCCATGTGCTTAGATAGCATTTAAATAGTACAAAGCATGTACAATATTTCATAATATGATAAACACAATGTGCAACGTTAAAAATAATAAATTAGTTATAACTGTCAATCTTCATTTTCACCACTACAAGAAAATAAAAAATTGGTATTTATTCTCCTTAATAAAAATTCAGTTTTTACGTATTTATAAAATCAATAAGATGTGTAAATCGTTATGACATCTACATACGTCTTTCGTTGATTTTTTTTTAATTATAAAAATCAATTATATACAGGAAATCAGTAGAGAGAGTCTATTTACATCAAGCACATCATAAAATGAATAGAAATAGAAATAGAAATAATCTTTATTCAAATAAACTCATTACAAGCACTTTTGAATAGTCATATTTTGATTCTACCACTCATTCGGAATGCAGATTCATCACAAGAAGAATGAGCAAGAATCTTGTGTGTTGCTCTTTTTAATATATGTTTTTTTATATAAATAATTACAGTATAACAAGTAAGAGGCATGCGATAATCAACATAGAAATCGCTACGCACTCATTATTAGTGTAACCAGATAATATTGTTAGTGCTATGGATTTAAAGTTTTTCTATAAAAACATTATTATTGTTAACGAATTCATCAATTTTATAGTAAGCTTTTTTGCAAAGGAACCGTTTTATTTGACATTTAAATCTTTTTTCTGGCAGATTTATAATAGACTGTCAATTCATGAGAATGTGCATTCCATCCAATAACTATGACTAATTTATTTTGTTACTCAAGAAACTATTTATGTCAACTTTGCTATTTAACAGTTTGTATTCAGACAAAATTCACAATTATTTTCATAACATTTATTTAAAAGAGTATAACGCAAGTTTCTTTACCATTGTTCTTGTAATGAATGTGTGGCAGAATAAAAAAAATATGACTATTCAGAAGTGCTTACATTAAGTTTAATTGTTTAATCAATTAAACACTCACCTGTCTCTGTTTGATGAAGGCTGCCATTAGCGGTGGATTTGACTTGAGAATTTGTAATATCTCCTGCTGTTGATTGTGGCTGGTTGGCGATCTTAACGTCGCCATTAGTTTCTGTAGCGCCTGCTGGTGCATTTGTGGTTGGTTTTGTTGTTGTTGTGGCGCAGGCGCTCGTTGCTGTAAATATTATAGAATATTAATACACGAGATCACACTTAGCAACTAACATTAGTTTTATCTAACAGGAATGTCTAACAGGAATTCTTTTCACGTTAATTGGCTCTATTGATGGAAAATGGGATAGGTTATATTTTAGAAATAGTTTATGAGAAGTACAATTGGTATATGTTGTGTTATTCATGATGCTGGTTGACCATGGTTTCCGTATGGAAAGCAAAGTGCTATAATAGGTACATATAGATAATTAGATAGGAAATATTTTAATATTATTATTTATTCGACGAAAAATTTTTATGGGCTATAATATTTTCGTCAATTATTACTAAAAAATATGATACTTGTTCGAATATCTTTAAGTTACAGTCGCTATTACTCGAAATAACAAGAACATTTAAAAGTCAAGAGTACGTTATGAATGTATGTTCAAGGCATTCACGCAATGTTCATCTATCACAATATCGTGTCACTACGAATGTATTATACGGTATATTATTACGGTTTATTTTCGAAGATCGATTTTCTTTGTAGTAGTATTTTAATCATATTACAGTGTTTGTAGTTATAGACTATGGTATAGTTCTATTTCGTTACAATGGACACAATTCACACATCGTCATCTAGTACCAAGCAGAATTTGTGTTATACGTTCTAGACAACTGATGAATACTTAAATATTTAGTTTGCAAATACCTACATAATGTACATAGAAAACACCCAGACCGATACAAACATATTCATGAATAGAAATGTTTGTACCGTGCGAGGAATCGCACCCGCGACCATCAGAAGCAAAGTGATGTGCTAAATCGCTGTTCTAGAATAGTAAAAAAAAAACAATGTTTTCTGGGACACATAATAGAAGTGAAAATTCAGCTAAAAAATCCCCTCTACTCTGCTACCAGTCTCTTTCTTCCTCTTACAACGTGATATATCGTCTACCCCTCCACAACCGTGCCTGAAAAATCCTACTCATGCGACCACACGACTTACTCTCCACTCGGCGGCGTTAAGCCGGCCCGGCGAGCGATAAATAAATCCCGCCACGCGATTCCAGAAACGGAACGGTAAAAACAGGTCGAATATATATATTAAAAAATAAACAACGTGCGTGCGTCGTACCTGTAGTTGTGCGGGCGCGTGCGGCTGCGGCACGTGCTGCGCGTGCGCCACGTGGTGCGGCGGGAGGCGCGCGTGCGGCGGCGGGTGGTGCAGCGGCGGCGGCGCGCGGTACCGGCCCGCCGCCCAGTCGGCGCCCGCGCGCGCGCCCGCCGCCGCGCTCGCGCCGGGGACCGCCGCCGGCCCGGGCCCGGGGCCCACGGGGCCCGGCCCGCCGGGACCGCCCGGGCCCCCCGGCCCGCCCGGCGGACCCATCAGGCTGCAGTGCTTGCCGAACGACGGAGCCTGCTGCCGCGCCGCCTCCTCGTGTACCTGCACACACGCCCGTCCCTCCTATACATTACGCGTCATGTCTGCTACGTGTGCAGCGCCGCCCGATATAGATTCAAATACGCAAGTGCTAATTTGTGATGTTTGACGCGGATATTATACCTTTCAGCTTGTTATTACGTCAAAATTAGAAGGAACGATTTTACTTTGTACTTCCGTTATGGTTATTGAACATACATTAAAGTATTAATATGCAATAATAAGTATGTGTGCATAGCATTCTCCACTTACTAACACCGAAACGACCAAAAATCCAATACCGAGTACATTAAATGCACATATGTTAGGTAAGCATATTTTTACGTGCTCTAATCAATTTCAAAAGAATTTATTTTTATGTCAAATTTATTAAACATGTTATTAAAAAGAGTATTAAAATGACAGAGACTAAATCTAATAAAAAAAGAACAATTAATAACCTTTGAATCTATATCTGACGTCGGAACAAAATATAAATATGGGCTTTCAGCGAAATAAACCTACCAACTGCATCGTAAATTTTGATGACATTTATTGGTAACAACTATGTTTTCGAAATGTTAATTTAGGTTCTACTTAGGGCTCCTCTCAAATATATAGTGCAAACATATGAGAGATATATCAATGGTATTATAAAATAACTAAATATTATATTGTCATCACAAATAAAATAAAATCAATAAAATTATGTTACCAAAGGGTCGACAACGCACAAGTGACTCCTCTCGTATCCATAGGCTATGGTAACAGTTTACCATCACATGCGTCGTACGTTCGTTTGTCACCATCGTAACATATAAAAAAACCTAACAGTGTAAGAGCGTACTACGAACGACGTATTGTATGTGCGTTCGTTACCTGTTGGAGCGCCTTCTGCACGTTGTGCGGCAGCGCGTGGGCTGCGTGCGCGGCGTGGGTGGCGGGCGGCGTGGGCGCGTGGTGCGCGTGCGCGTGCGGGTGTGCGGCGTGCGCTGCGTGCGCGGTGGGCTTGGAGGGCGGCGGGGAGGACAGCGCGGGCGGCGGGGGCGACGAGCCGCCCGTCGCGCACGCGCGCGTGTTCATCGCCGCCATGCGCCGCCGCAGCAGCTTCGCCTGCTGCACCCGCTGTTGCACCTGTTGCTGCTTCAGCTTCTGCTTTATGCTGCTGCAGAACGGCACCGAGCACTTCGTTTCCTGCGCGACAAACGTATTCTTTGAGTGATGCTCTACTCTAGATACCGTTCACCATTTGATTGGATCATATGCTCGATATACGGTAAGATGCGGTCTCTAAGGACTCGTATGCCGCATAGATAATTCGCATAAAATATACTGACACAGTATTCGGGATCTTTAATTATTTAATATTTAATAAAGTTTTAATATAGCTTCTTGAAAAATTAAGGAAAAGAGAAATTGTATACTTTTTCAAGTCCAATAAAACACTAGAATGAAGGTGTTTGCATTCAAATGCCAAATAATAAAAAAAAATGTTCATCTCTAAATTTCCATAAGTTAGATGTATTACTGACTTCACAATTTAAATTTATTATAATAAAAAGCTGAAAACTAATTTCTGGGAATATGTACACTAACTTATTGTAATCAAGTAGAATATGTACCATCTGTGAGCCTTCCCAAAAATCTACCGAACTAGCTTCTATTCAACATTGTAGAAAATAAACCGAAAGTAAAGTTTAAGAATATCAATTTTTCTGCCAATACTGTAAGGAAATTAAAATAACGTCTTAGGAATATATGGTAGTCAGTATTCGATGTTAGCGGCACACTCACCTGGCAGTGTTTCGCATGGTAGCAGCATAGCGCAATGAGTTGCTTGCATATGGGACAATCGCCCTTGGTCTTGCGCTTGCAGATCTTCGTGTGCTGAACAACTCGCTTCATCTTGAGGCACGATGGTAGTCGGCAGTTGGCGTCGCGACACTGGCATGCATGCACCAGCGACTGTATGCAGCGTTGGATGGACAGCTTGCGCGCCTCCTGTGGGTTTGCTTGCTTCATATCGCCAGGCGACGAACCAACATCGATGTCGAAGCCTAGCCTGTCCATCTTGTGCGGGTGACCCTCCTTCTCGTAGCAGACCACGCAGAGATCGAAATCGTCGCAGACCGTGCAATGGTATCTGGTCTCGACGTGGGACTTGCAGCTGTTGCATGTGTAAACGAACTTGTCCTGCCCTTGGTTGTGGAGCTCGTACAGCATGCATAACGTGGAAAACCTGGCTCGCCGCGTCGACGAGAACTCGTAGTGCCTGTCGCGCGCCATTGTTAGGAATGCGTCGCGGCCGTCCATCAGGTCACAGTTTACTAATGGGTCCGGGTCTTGGATAGGCTATGTGGACAAAGAAAACACACTTATAAACACCATTATTATACAACCCATTATGGTCTCCGTTTTTTTCTCATAAGAGAAGGATTTAACCTAAACTACTACCACGGTGGTCAGGTCAATTTTATTTAGGTACATTTCTCTTACAGCAATGTATTCAACCTGCTTTTCCTAATCGCCAGCTCCAACATACTGAGAGTGAACGAAGGAATAGGGGCACTGTATGCACTTTATTTTGTCACATACTCGTTTTCGTCATACTAGCATTGGGATCTATGTCCCACTGCGAGTATGACGAAAACGAATAAGGGACTTTTTGCGAAAATATTAGTGACTTTAACTAATCTATTCTAATATTAAAAGTATCGAATATCTCTACGTTTCCTACCTTTGAGGTAGAGAATTATTTTAATCTTTAGTGAAGTGAAATGTTGCGAATTTTGTAAACAAAATAGAAAGTAACAGCAACGGTAACTTACCGCTAAACTGGCTGCGGACTGTGCGGAATGTAGCCTTATAACGAAGAACACTTCTTTGTGTTTCTCCATGGTTGCAAATATCTTTGCACTGAGATCACTACCCTGCTGCTGGTCGCTCTGTTTTTTGCTGTTCTTTCTCTGAGCGGCCTTCGATTTGTTCGATTTCTTTGCCTTCTTTTGTCCCTTCTTTTTTCCGTCAGGGCCTTGTTCGTTCTCCTCCGACGACTGGAATATCTAAAAAATATGTTAGACACACATGCTTACAACGCTCCAAATCATACATATCTTAACACTACGACATTTAATTATTACTATTATAATAATGATCAATGAATTGAAATTAATTAATGTTATATTAGACAATGATTTACAATGTCTGAATGTGTCGTAGTGAAAGTAATGAAATGGAGTTAGTGATACTGACCACTGCTTCAGCGGCTTCAGCTTGCTTTCTCTTCTCCTCTTCCTCCTGGTCCAACTCTTTGATAGATTCTTCTAACACGTTGGGCCAGAAATCACCCTCAAAGTAGGGCAGCTCCGCCGCAGAAGAGATATTGTCCTCCATTGCTTGCTTAAGAATGTCTTTGTAGTCTAATATAATTCTCTCTATTATACCTTTATCTAACATTTTCTTATACCACTCTTGCAAACGTTTCGGTTTAGGTATTTTTTGTTCGGTTGGATGGCAGTGGAAAATGTAGTCATCGCCCTCTGAGGGAGGACAAGCCCATATGTGGGCCATTGTATAACCCAATTGTTTAGCGTAGTCCAAATAACCTAATAAAATTTCGTGATATACACCAGTCCTATATTGTTTGGGTTGGAAGAAATGAACGGAATCTAAATATGCTATATATACACGTCTCTTGTTGGGCGACGGACTTTCGCTTCCATATTCCTAAAACAAACAATAGATAGATTTATAGGTAATTTTTATTCTAACTAAGTAGCGTCATGAGAGTCTTAGAGATAAGTATGGGAGAGAAAATTCTCCTGACTTCTTCTACAATTTGTATTACATTTTATTTATTATTTTTATTTTAACTTATTCTCAATGAGTATTAAAGTAAGAAAGGAAACGAAATTCAGTGGGCATATAATATAGCCCATAAGAATGTTAATAATACATGAAAAATAATAAAAATACTGAAAAGGTTACTAATATTGAAATACTACTTGGGAGTTTTCTTTAGATTTTAAAGTAGACGTATAAAATACTTACCTGTACATGCATACCGAAGAAACACACGTCGGTTCCGTCAACTTCCTCAAATGCAAATAACGCTTTAGCCCGATACGGGAATTCGGCGCATAACTCTCCCGATTCTACAAATCGTGTTCGCATTCCAGGTTTAACTTCTACCATCTGAAAATGTATAATAATATAGTATATTGTTTTGGATGAAAGACATCTTTTATAATAATTATAATTATATTATTTGTGTAATATGAATTTCAATTGAAACAAACGGAAAATGCAGCTACCGTATTTTAACTGCGTTGCTGACACCTCAATTTTTGAATGTAACAAAATACCAATTGACAAATTATATAAGTTATAATTAAATTTCTATAACTTTGTAAAATATAACATCTACAAACTGAAAAACTGTCAATAGTAATCCATTTCGAATTAGAAATTTAATATAATCTAGGAGATCAATAATCTGAACCTTATTTTAATAATGTATGACATAATTTGATAACTCACAATGTTCAAATATCTTTACACATATAACTAATAATATACAATTTGTATAATGTTAATCTTATGACAATGTGAATTACATATTAATCTATTACTTACCTTATCCGAAGATGCCACAACTCTGATATGCACTTCGCCCGCGCCAGCCTCTTTTTTCTTAAGAAAATTATTAACTCTCGTTTCAATATAAATGCCAAGTTTCGAGGTAGGCAGCTTTTTAGCGCAGAATTTGTTATCTTTCCGTTTAGCTCCCTTCGTTTTCCAACAATTATCACAGCAGAAGCCCTGAGGCCATATTTGGTCATGATGCAGCACACATATCTGGTGCTGCTTCCTACCGCAGTCCATACATAGAACAAACGGTTCCTGTTCAAGGTGATCATTCTTCATTTCCTTGAATTGATCTTTTTTGATTGCACTGAAATGTTTCACGTAAAATTAATGAACTGTTACTACAAACTAGTAAGAAGAAGCGTGATAAAGTACTAAAAATAGTAAATATAGTAATTATATTAGTTATTTCCTATATAATCAACTTCTAAAATGATTTTCGTGTGATTTATACGCAACATATACGCCACATTATTTTTGTAATACAAATATATTAAGTAAATTAAATTGATTTACGTTTTGGTTTCATCCTAAATACGTCAAAACTTTACATAGCTTTTAAATTCTATTCTATTTTTTATTTTACTACTTATACTTATATTTACTATTTTAAAAAAGTAACATAATAAAACAGTACAGTAGGATAATGGCGCCTGAATAATATAAAGTGAATACCAATTCATTAATGGGATAAATTATATTTCTTTACCCTCACAGTTGATAACTCGAGATTACTTTTTTTTATTGAAATTCTAAGTGAAAATGTATACTCACGTCTGCGGTTGCTGCGGATCGTCGCCCAGCGTTACGGTGTCGCCTTGGATGTCATTGAAGCATTTCTGGCAGAAGGTGTATCTATCGGACACAACCCCATACGCTTTTAGACTTTATTCATAATCGTCCGTGTAGCGTGTGATGTGAAGCGTGACAGGAACGTTTGTGTGCAGGCAAGGACGTGCGTGGGGGGCGAAAAAAAATTAGTAAGCAATGAGAACATAAAAAGGGGTTAATAGTTGAAGACAGTGAGCGGTCCGCATAGGTTAAGGAGTCTGTAGACGGTAAAACTGTTTGAAACAAACACGTGGATTTCGGCGTCTCCAAAATTTATTAAATTGTACGACAATCCTATAAGGCCATAACTGTTTGTTATGCTTAAACGGCTGGACTAGTAGTGTTCTCAATTTGGCTGAATGAATTTTGTGTATAAAATAATTCAAATTGTAGTATTGAAAGAAATTTTGAATTGATTTTTCATGAAAAGGATTCTTTCTGACATTCTCAGACACTCATTTACTATGATATTGATCCAATAGATATTTGTGTTTTTTTAAGGAACAAACTTATTAGATTTTTCTGCAAACTTAGGTCAATAATTTTCAATACATATATTACTCTAAATGTAAAATAAATGACTGTTTTCTGTGTTTCAGTTCAATAGTATAGTAATGATATCATGATTGGTAAGTCATCTTTTGTAGAATTTTTTTTACAATGTATATAATAGAAAATTTTGTGTGTTCTAAGAATATGTAGAAAATATTCAAAGAATTTGTTAATATAGACTTATTTATCTTAGAAAAATCCAGCCTTAAAGCCTAGCAAGGTCATATAATAGCTAGATTATATTTCAGTATAAAGGAACATAATTAACACGACTTATAACTTGATTGAAACTAAAATCCCCGTGCTTAATTCAAGTTGCTTCACCGTTTACCAACTTAAGATAATAAATGTCACAGTGTATTTGTTTAGCCAAGGTTGGATTTGCCTATGGTACTGAATCATAGACAAAATACAGCTGTAACCAACCGGGGCTAAACGCTTTGTGAAGTAACACTAAAATCGATGTTGATACGTACATTTGTTATATATTGGAAACATTGGGTATTATTGTACTTATAAAACGGATTCTTTTGATCATATGCTGTAGGTACTTATATTCATACCAAATGATGTTCGACAAATGGCAGTATCAACGAAGTAATGCTATCGTACACGAAGAAGATAGCAAGCAACAGCCAATCACTATTCAACGCCCACAATATTATATTCCCCTTATTCATAAAATTTTACTGTCATTTTCCTTCGAACAGAAATGTTCACATTCTATTAAAATAAGGATTTTGACATTACGTTATATAACATTCAAATAATAAGTGTAATGTAGAAGTTTAAGTTTCTATGAATGAGGGGGTGAAAGAATATAAAATAAAAACGACTTGTATTCGGTAGGCACAATGACGGCAACCAAAAATTTTGAAACAAATAATAAATTTGACAAAAATATAGAAAGTTTTTCTTCTATCATTCATATTCATATACAATTACTAAAACTAAATACTAATTAACAACATTTTTTTTATTACAAAAACATTTATAGTGCCAAATAGTTTCACACAGAGAGAAGAACCTTTGTACATATTGAGAAAATTAACATACACACACACTTAGTACGTTGCTATATCCTAACACGTGTAAAAAAAGACGTGATGTCAGAAACGTAGTGGAGGCCTGCGTCCGTGTATTTTAGTGAAATAATTTTATTAAAAAAGATATAAAAAATAATAAACAATAATTATAAATACATAATATATATAAGCCATTTTTTAGGAAATAACAAACCCGTAATTACAGTTATAATAGTTTTCCTAATTTAGACATCATGCATGCCATACGATGTGATGTATATGATGCTGTTTATAGAAGAACTTTCCACAAGGAAGTATAAAAAATTATTTGCAATATACATAAAATGCACCACCTTCATTTCACCGCTTTAATTTCTATGCCACTTCTTGTTTAGAAAGTTACATCATTTTATGTATATAATAATAGTTGTCATATTTTGAGTCATAAATAGTCAGTGTAAGTGAAATGGGAATTACTCAATTATTTTCAAATAATGCAATATATCTAATACTAGCAGACCCGGCCACGTGTTGCTGTGGCTAAGGTTCTCGAATAAAATATAATTGCGTCAATAAATTGAGATGTAAGCTATCCTATCTTTCAAGTTGGACCAAATTGCACACAATGTGCAAATGAAATTTGCAATCGATTCAGTAGTTTAGGAGTCCATCGCGGACAAACAATGTGTAATTACGTAATTTTTATATATAAAGATTATATTGAACATTTTGAAACCATAGATTTAACTAAATTTAATTTTAGGGACACCTATTTGGCTATATTCATTTTTTTGATGGTAGTATGTTTTGGTAAGAAAGTACTTTCAGATTATACTTATCTACAGTAAAAGTATACACAGACAAAGTAATAACATGAAATCAAATATTTTATTTAAAACAACAGGAAATCTACAATAGGAAAAATTAACAAACTTACTATAATGTTAATAATGTATGATTTGATGGACACCCAGTAGTACGTCACAAACAATTACAGTACAGTTGAGTTCAAAAACATTAAAATATTCCAGATCATAATAGTGCTGGAGGATATTTGTTTCAAAACAAAAATTAACAAATATTAATAAACTCAACTGTACCAAAAAACAAAACCAATGCAACAAACATAAATAAAGCTTACACTGAAGCATAGGACAAGAGAACACAATAGTGGATTGTGACAAGAAAATTGAGTACTTGAAGGGTATGTAATATGGTTTTGTAAAAACTAAGAACCTCTTTTACAAATTATGTTAACTAATAATTTAATATTTAAAAGTTTCGAAATAAATAAATCTGTCAAGTTATGATTTATTATAACATTTATAGTCAAAAAGATAGTGTCACTTAACTGAAGAATTCAGACGCAACAATAAAAGGGTGTGTTTAATTTTTTCTATAAAATAACCAATTTTACTTAAATATTATTATATTATTCAATGTTATTTTTCTTTTGTATGATACCAAAACAATAAATATGAGATATAGTAATAAAGCACATATATGTATGATGGGCATTAACAACGCCATGAATGATTAATTGTAAGAAAGATACTTTTTATATATACAAACAATGGTGACAAACAAATTGCCCCTCAGATGGTAAACGGTTACCGTAGCCTATGGATACAACTCTCATGATAGATATCTCTAATTAATAATATATTCTTATATACCTTTAATGAATGTGGAATGTTATGAATAACAAAATGGATATACAGACACCATGAATGCACGAAATACCAGAGACCATTTCCATTTTTACTTTTTTGACAACTATCTCTGCCCACACCGTAAAGGATGACAGATGCTGATTAAAGCCCTATGGCAATTGACACGTGGTATAGTGCAGTGCCATTTTTTAAACTTAACCAGCTAAGTCCATTTCAATAATTTAATAAAATAAATTTTTTAACTAAAATTTGGTCATTGAGATTAAAAAAACATAGCTTAAAGTGGGGTCATAGATAAAATGTTACTTAAGTTTTCCGAAATAAAAGTTATTCTTATTTATATTGCACCTCCACAGTTACATAAATTTTTAAATGTCAATATTTTCATTGAAAACACGAATATTCATACGCTATTAGTAAATTAAACACACCCAATAAAATACAATTCAAATAGATTTAATTTGTTTTTGTACCATCATATAGATGATTCAATATACTAGGAAATTTTAATGACAAAATCTTTATAATACTAAGATCGACGTAACAAACATTTATAACATAGAAATATTGTCAAATTAATGTAAACTCCATTATAATAAGACATATTGACCGTGTCAACGATGACACACACGCCTTTCTCTAGCTTTAAGATTTCGCGGATTGCAATGAGACATAATAATATCCACAACAATTAATACCAGTATGTATTTTTTATAGTGTGTAAGCACACTAACAGAACATTATATTTTCGTACTATTAAATATTTTAGAAGAATGGTGATGTATGTCATTGAGACTGTCATTCATAATTGTAATCACTAACCTGTTCTGGTAACTGAAGTACTTGGCGTCGCGAGGTATGGTACAAAGTTGTTTGCCGAAACAACATAGCACTTGTGGGTTAAATGTGTATTTTCTCCCACAACAGTATCCAAGACTTTGCATCACAGGGTCTATTTCTTGCTCGAACACCTCCGACAACTAAAACATATATAAATGTTACGTCTATATATCTATTCTATTTACATATAATGCAGTATTCAAATGCGTATTTATTGGCTATGATATTGGTACATACTTTATTAATATTACTTTCATAGCATACAAATATGATTTTGCCGACTCAAATTATGGTTTTAAAGCAGCTTAATTGCGACAGTAAAGAAAGATATTTCATTTTTCACCATTTTTTTATCCTCCTCAACTAAATGTGACAAGTGAAAAATCTTTATATTTGAGGAAAAAAGTCAAAAAGACTTATTTTACTGAGATCAAAACTACTACATACAGTTTACAGTCATTAGCGTATTCGGCTAAGGATTTATTATTATTGCAATATGCTAGATGGAACAAAATAAATTTGCTCTAAAAGTAATAAAACAAATATGTTTTCTTTTATACAACAATGGTGGCTAACAAGTATTATGCACTTACTTTATTACAATATCTGTAGACTCGAGAATTCTTGCGATTGTAGAGCCATGCATTCTCGAACATGAGCCACACGTCATCCACATACTCCCACGGGTCTTTGTATTCGCCATGATCCAGTTTCATCTTAATCGTAGATAAGTCTATAGGATTTTTTACTATATCGAAGTAATCGGGAATGCCGAGCGCCTGCGCGTCCACCGGCTGACGGAAGGGCAGCGACTCCGGCTCCTGGCGAAACAGTTTCTCCAGGGTCGGCATCAGGGCCATCCGCAGCTCCTCCGCTTTGAATACGAACACTCGTCTTGCGGTAGCCCCCTCGCTGGCAGCCTCGCTAGGTTCTTCTTTCACCTCCTGTTTAATCTCTGACTTGATTTCTTGCTTTACTACAAATTCAGTTCGTTGCGAAGGCTCGCTCGGGATTTCGTCGCGCATGCCTTTACCCCCACAGTCATCATCGGGTTCTTCTTTGATGCGGATTTCCTCCGGCTCCTGTTTTATGTGGACCTGTTGATATCAGAGTATATTAATATTCACTTAAATTTTATAAAATATAATAAAGTACATAATACAAAACAGTTTATGTATATAATATGAATTTTAATTTGGTTTAAATTTGGTATACAAAATTGACTTTTGCTGATCAATATTGAACTTGGCACATAAATAGCAAAAACACGCACGATTGAAGGCGTGAATGCGCGCGAGCGGACTTTATCGTTCTCTTTGCCTACATTCTCATTTCATCCTACGCGAAAGCCAGTTCGCGCGTGAAAGAGCGTACGTGTAAAGTGCAACTAACAAAAGAATCTATACAGATAGGAATACCTTAAAAACTGCTACTTTTTAGTTAATTTTTACTTCTTACACGCTCATTCGTGAAAGTCGATTCGCGCGTGTAACTGCGTACATGTTAAATTTGATGGAGTATCGTACAAGGGTGGTTCGACTTACGTCGCGCGCGTCCTGCGAGAGGTCTGCGTCGTCGCGGGCGGGCGGCGGCGCGGGGGGGAGCGCGGCGGGCGGGTGCGGCGCGGGCGGGTGCGCGGCGGGCGCGGCGGGCGGGCGCGAGGCGGGCCGGGCGTCGGGCGCGGGGCTGGGCAGCGCGAGCGGCGTGGCGGGCGTGCCCGGCGCCCCGCCCGCGCCCCCCACGCCCGGCGACGCGGCCGGCTCGCCGCGCGAGAACGGGCCCGAGTGGTTCACGAACGGGCTCGCCGCCGGCCGCTTCGCCTCGCCCTGGTGGCTGGGCGAGGCGAGCGGCGCGGGCCCGTTGCTGGCCATCGGCGGGTACTGCGGCGCGGGCGACGTCATCGGCTGCCCGAACGGCGACATGCCCGGGTTGCCCACGCTGCCGACGCCCACGTTGCCGCCGTTCGGCGTTTGCGGCATCTGATCGATGTTTCCAAACGTAGAGTACAGCTATTATATACGTATATAAAACTTTATGTACGTGAATTTAATGAACTACTAGCTGATGTCGTCGACTTCCTCTGCGCACAATTAGTACTTCCAGTTACATATTTTTTTCTCCACTGTGCTATTAGATTTTTAACAAAATTCATTAAAATTAGTTCTATGGTTTTTTATTACATATTTATTTTATTTTTGCGATTTTTTTATTTTGAACAATTCACAAAACTTCTTTATAAATTCTAACCTAAGTATTATTCTGATATATAAGCTAAAATATTAATAGTTCTATTATAATCCATTCCATAGTTTTTGGTTAAAAAAGTAACAAACATTCATACATACAAACTTTAGCGTTTATAACATTAGTAGAGTTTTCGTATTTTCAAGCTAGACAGTGACTAATGCATAGCATCCACTCGAAAAAATAATGCTGGAGTCGAAACAATTGTTGCAAAAGACGAAAGCAAAGAAAATTCATTAAATTCATATACATAAGTATAATATAACAGTTACATAATAATAAATGTATCATTTCACAAGGTTGTCAGAGAATACATATAGAAGACAAAGTCAACATTGAAACATATACACCAAAAACTGATTGTTTAAGCTAGTACAAGCTAATTTCTTTCTACTTTTTTCACATAGGTTAGTAAGTGCATAACTGACCTGGTTGGGACTGGGCCCCGGCGGTCCGACGAGGTTGCCCTGGAAGGCCATGCGGTTGGCGGGCATGGCGAGCGTCATGCCGGGCGACGGGATGCGCATGGCGGGCAGCTGGGCGGGCGGCGCGCGCGGGCCGCCCACCGCCGCCGCGCGCCCGCCCAGCACGCCGCCGCCCGACATCACGCCCACCGGCTGTTGCTGCAGCTGGTTCTGCTGCTGCTGCTGCTGCTGCTGCGCCTGCTGTTGTTGCGCCTGCAGCTGTTGTTCTTTTCGCTTTTGTCTCTTTTCCTCTAGTTCCTTTTGTATTTTATATATCTTTTCTGCGAGAAGGTGATAGTACTCTGATCTCGTACTCGCCATGTCGTACATGTCGCCCTCGACCTTTCTCGCGTAAGCGACTAAGTTGTGCATTCTCTTATCGAGCATCGCGTGTGGATCTGGGGTCGGAAAGATAGCTTGCACCCTAAAAAAAAACAAAGTAATACAATATTCATTCCTAATATCACAGAAAAAATATTACCACTTAAACATTTTTCGATATTCGTATGTAAAATTTTATATAACATGACAGCTGGGATGTACTTACAGTTTATGAACAAGATGGTTTCTGAGATCGGATGTTATAGACTGATGCCACTCCTTCGTGCCAGAAGCGGGGTTAGCGGTTACAGGCCCGCCGGGTAATTGTAGTGTGCCAGCACTTATCTGTAATAAATAGCAACATGAAACTTATTCGGGACCAAGTCACTATAATGGAAAAATACAAAGTTTTTACAAACACAATGGCACTGACCAGCTGCTGCTGTTGCTGCTGCTGGAGGTCTTGCGGGTTCTGATGCGTAGCGAACAGCTGCGACATCTGCTGCGGCTGCTGCACCACGTCCGCCATGCCGGGCGGGCGCGGCACGGGCATGCGCGCGATGGCCGCTCGAGGGAATCCGCCGCCCACCATGTTGGAGACGGACGTCGGGCACGCGATGCCCAGCGCCTCGTACGCGCGCTTCATGTCCGCGCCCTGCGTGCTGCTCGCGGGCGGCGGCGCGCTCGCGGCTACCGGCGCCAGTGAGTTGACGCCGCCCACGCCGCTCATGTTCCCGGGGGCGCCGCTCACGCCTCCCACGCCTGCCACACCACCCACGCCGCCCACGGGGCCCACACCGCCTACGTTGCCGACGCCGGCTACGCCGCCGACGCCGACACCGGCCACGGTGCCCCCGCCGACGCCCGTCGTCGTGTGACTTACTGGTGCCGCTGTTTAGTCAACCACATATGTCAGCAGTTACAGTACATGGATAACGATATAATGAACACAAATATAAAAAAGAATGCGATACTTACAATTCATGTTATTAGTTCTAGTCCTATCTGCTTGTTTGAGTGGCAAGCAAACAGGGCAGTCATTTTTATTACAATGCTTCCAATGATTTATAATCTGTCTCGACGAAGAACAATGTGGTACTGCACAATTTTTTCCCGCCTAAAATGGAAAATATCTATTATTAGTGACAAATTCAAAATATCAATGTATTTATAACAAGAACAAAAAAAAAAAAGCTTACCTGACACGACATCATATGCGTCAGAACTTGTTTCATAGTCTTGCAGTGCGGTAATGAGCACTGCCACGTCTCGCCGTTAGATTGCAGCTCGCGCCGCTGGCATTTGTGCGCGTGCAGCAATAGTACGAGTTGTTGCTGGATGAGCTTGCGCTTCTCCGGGTCGGCGATGGAGCCCGAGGGTGCGGGCGCGGCGGAGGGTGGCGCCGCAGCCTGCGTGGCGGCCTGGGGCTGCGACTGGCCGCCGGCGGGCGCGCCCGGCGTCTGCGGTGACGGCGCCGGAGGCACGGCCTGCGCCGCGCCGCCGCCGCTCTCGCCGGGAGGCCCGAAACGTACACCGGGCGGCCGCGGCGCAGGCGCTCCTGGGCCGCCCGCGTTTCCGCCCGTGGCCGACTGCCCGTACGTCGGATGGTAGGGAGTAAGCAGAGCGCCGCCGCCCGGGGCCTGCATGCGCGGGTGGTGTTGCAGGCTCGTCCGCATGTTAGGTGCCTGCATGCCCACTCCTCCGACGCCCCCGACTCCCACGCCGCCCACTCTCCCTCCGAGCGGCCCGTTTTGCATCTGTTGCGCGTGCGGATGATGCGGAGGGTTCGGATGATGATTACCGGCCATGAGTCCCGGTAGTTGTTTATTGACATTGTTTATAATTCCACTGCCTAGCATGCCCGCGCCGGTCATATTGCTATTTGTCACAATCATATTGCCAACATTTGCAACATTCATTCCCCCTGCAAAGTATACACTTTCATGTAATAACTGACAACGGACAGACTATTTACAAAAGACAAAGACATTATTTACTTCTGAGATGGAAGTATAAGACACCAGTAAGATACATACCTTGAATGGAGCTCATCGGCATTGTCGAATGTAGTTGATTTGGATGACTTGTATTTGGCATTAGTTGTGAGTGCATACCACCCATGAGGTCCTTTGATACAGATACATTTGGAGGTGATTGTAAATTTGGACTCTTACTTCCTAAACTATTCAAACCTAAAGAGTTTGCGTGGCCTACTAAGCCACTTTTGTTGCCCTGTGAAAAGACCAAAAAACGGCATACATCATTAGTACATCCTGTGTAGAATTAAATAGTAACGTTAAATAGCACAGTTTATTTATGTTTTAGTTTTTTTATAACAAAAAAATACATAAAGTAAAACTCATTCTTTCCAGGCGTAAGCCTAGTACTTCCTTTTTAACTAATAACACTTTTCTTAAGAAGTATAAGAGATTGAATTTATATTTCAATAAATATCAAAATTTCAATAAATACTCTTGTTTATGGTATGGTACAGCTACACCAGGTACTCACTTGTTGTATAAGATGGTTGTTCATTTGCCTCTGCATTGCAGCTGTCGGGTCATCCCCGTTAAGTTGCTGTGGGGTTAATTGCCCCCCAGGTCCTGGCCCCTGTGCTGGAGGCTTAGGACCCGTGACTCCAGGCTGTTCGACCCATGACCCCATAAGTTCATCAGGAAGGCGATTTTCCAGGTCGAACATGTCAAGGTTAGAAAACCCATCTGCTGCAATAAGAAATACATTTAATTTGAATCTTAAATAAACATTAATTAATAAATTAAAATTAGTATTTAATAAAAATTAGAATTTTTATTGAATACAATAAAATTTTATAATTGATTGATTGAGTTAATCACAACAAGTTCAATAAAAAATATTAATCTAAGTAATGGTAACAAATAATATTTTCTATACTATTAAAAATATTCTAATTACTAATAAATAACTCATTTTAAATTTTTATACAATTATTTAATTTTATTGTAACCTCATCTATCAAACTTATTTTATGGCTCTTGTGATAAAGGCTATAATTATGATTATAGCCTTTTCCTTTAATTAAGCAAAATTCTCTCTATCTCATATAAATGAACAAAAGAATATCTTTAAATACAACAGCCAACTTGTAAAAGACTACTTACTAATAATTATATCATATAAAGACTAATAATTATATCATATAATTCGCAATTTCTTGAACATTGAAAATAATTTAATTAAAATATAAAAATTGAAAATGGTTGTAAGTCTACAAAAAACTATTTTAATGTAGAATAATAATAGTAAGAAGATATCATTATTAGTTATACACAAAGAATGATCAATCCATAAGAAAAAATTATAAATTTTACTTCAACAGCAATTACTATAATTATTTCTTAATTATGTGCAGTAATTTTTTTTACAATAATAATATTAACAAGAAAATATGTACAGTAAATGCAACCCATAGATTTTAGAAAAAAACTTTTTTGTCTCTATTTAAAGAAACAATTTTGTATTAAATTCTTTCTCAACAGACACAAAATTTATTGAATATATCAAATCGCAACATTAATTTGATAATATAAAAAAAATTATTTGATTGAAACTGGTTTTGGCATCACTAGACTGTGGTGTATTAATTACCTTTTTATTAAATTCTATTGGAAATGAGCATGGTTGTTTACTATAATATGTAATACTAGCCTTATAACTGTTAACTTCAAAGTTTTCAGTTTTTTTTTCAAATATATAATAACTGATATTTATTATATATTTGAAAAAAAAAACTGAAAACTTCTTACTATTATTATAGTACCTGCTTTTTTATTTAATGACTTAATTATGTCATGTATATGGAGTAAATTATTGTGTAATGTTAGATTTTGATTAAAATATCAGAATTAACTTTAAAGTAACTAGGAACACAGATAAAAGTCAGCTATGTCAATTATCAAATTATTTGGTATTGGCCAGTAGAAGCCAGCATATACCACAACCATTTTGGTTAACTGACAAGAAAGAGTTGTGACATACATGTAAAGATGGGATAATTATATTAAACATATAGCAGAAAGAAACTGGAGAGGTGTGGCTATGAACAGAGAATCATGGAGTCAACTGGAGGAGGAGTCTTTTATGTACCCAGGAGCATATACATACAAAATTAATACTATTAACAATATATTTAACAAATAAAAAAATACATATAATAAACAATAATTATATGGGACAAAGCCAAATTAAAACCATATGGGCTACATAACATACATAACAGTATCTTCAATAGATTGACTGTAATTTTGTAAAATATATATTTTTTTAATGTACATATATTAAAAAAAAGTTAAATATAGTAATAATAAATCTCAATAAAGGAGTCATTTCAAATCACAATAATTTATGTCAAATTGACACTACTTATGTTTACTCACTAAACAGTCAATTTAGAAAGAAATAAATAGTTAAATAATAAATGAAGTAGTAAATGATGTTTCATTACATTGCTTCTGAAACAAATTTACATATTTTTTATGGGTTCCAGGAGAACATTCTTTATGTTAGTTTAATGTATATTACTTAAATATATTTTCCAAATGTCATAACTTAAGTTTCTCATCTATCACATCTACCATTTCCATAGAAAAGGTGGTCATACTGCTGTTGTATAAATTTACATTGTACTTTTCTTTTAAACTTATGAACACTTTTTGATACTACAATCACATATAGTAAGGCATCAACCTTCTGTGTCATTACTTAAAATTAAAAACAAATTATAATTTGTTAATTACCTATTAATAAAATTAGTTTCATTTATTAGACTGTAGGAATACTGACAAAATATGACTCAAAGATAAAAAGAAACATATTTTAAAACAGAGATCTTATCTGTTTTAGGTTATTTGCAATTTGTTGTGTGTAAAGGCAGTTAATCTTTAGAACTACCGAACACATTCCAAAAATACATGCACTAATAGAAAGCTTTCTAGGAAATAAATAATGTATGTTTAATTACTTATTTCTAATATATAGTATGTGAAGTACACATTATTTGGTATACAGTATGGAAGTAACCTACAGAAGATAATATTTTTATTACTTCTGGCTATTTCCTATTTTTTTTTCAGATGTATATAACGGAAATGGAACACAGTCTATCACAATATAGCATAAATATGACACCAGTAGCAGAAATAATACAAAAAAGAAATATTTTAATCAACTTATTTTTTTTTTTAATTTCTTTATAAATTTAGGGACTTTTGTACCATTTTATTTATTTATTTTTTTTTATCATAACTTATTAATTTTTTTAATTACAACATTGAATATATCAATCCAGGTCTTACTATAAATTGCAGTGACATATAAAATTTACCTCATATGATTTTCATTACTATTCACTTACATTGACAGAAAACTTTAAAAATATTATATCCTAGGATTGAAATATTTAATGTAGTAAACTGATTTTGCTACTCATGTCAACACATAAAATATAACATAAGGTATAATAGAAAGATACCATTCCTTAACCATTAGATAATTAAAAAAATACATAAAATAAATCCTACTGCACATTATCAATTATTATGTGAAATAAAATAAATAATAAATTTTATGAATTAATGGATAACATTTATGTCAATACCCCGAGTTATTCCTAGTCCACAGATACAACCATGGCTTGATCATATTAGCAAATAATTAATACAATACAAGCCAACAATGTATTAATAAAATTATATTAAAAGAAACAAAATCTACATCTTTCATAACATTTGTTAATAGGTTATGTGACACATTGTGATCTTATCAGCGATGAACTTATACAAAAATTTATACTCTCATATTTTATATTATATACTTACTAGTATGCATATAAATATAACACACATTATAACCTTATTCCTAAGTCATATTTTTTATAACATTGTCTTTTCATTTACAATTTTCGAGAGTAGAATTTATAATAAAATTTATTAACAATACCTACTTTAAATAATTTGTGGTGTTATTTTATTAATAATTTTTATAATATTGTATTTTATTATATTGCAGTAATAAAATTATATATACAGGAAAATGTAGGTCAAGCCTGCTAGCAATAGTTTGAAGTAAAAAAAATAATAAAGCAGTATTAACTTATGAAGATGTTTAATAAAATTGAGATCACAAAATAATTTCACATATAAATCTATATAAAGAGTATGTAAATAAAGTCTAGTTGACCTATTTTGTCCAACTTTTTAGTACAATGGAAATGTTTATAAACAACATATTTAACTTGTATTTTCTGGTAATTGTAGCATTTTTTAATTTATAAGCCATATAAACTCTATTTTCATGTAATATTTGGTCTAAATAGTGCAGCATAAATTTATATCAATGTGTAGAGATACATACACAATTTTCTGAAATTATGTAAAATACAGAAATAAATATAGTTAGGGCTATATGTAATAATTGAGATAGTCTAGAAACAATAATACGACGCAAATCTTGCGAGGCGCTAACAAGAACGACGGCAAAATGTCAAAAATTAAAGAAAGATAATAATGACAGAACATCGGTGCAGCACTTGCCAAACTTGTAAAAAATAAGAAAATACTCACCCGCGGAGTCCGAGGGACCCTGGAAAGGGTCCCGGATCATTTTTGCCCGCTTGTTAGGCGGTTCATCCACATGATGATCGGCCATGGCTCTGTTTACTAAACGTAAGCCGTCGTGAATATTTCGGCCCGCCGATTCAAATAACACTTTTATGTCTTATATCTTCAAGAAATAACATTTTAGAGCGATTTGTCATCCATTATAACGTAATTCATCCACATCACAATCGTCCGATGTCCTTCGCACCATTGAAGGCACATATTAAAATTTCTCACTCAAGTATTCGCCATTACAAAGCTCCGAATCGAAGAGCTACACAGACCCTCTCACCATCTTTCGTCGAACTAGCACAATAAATGAAAACAATATCACCAGATTTTCGCGACTTTATGGACTTATTTCATTAATCGAATAATACAATTTCACTTAACACTTTAAAATACACGGAATGGTACAGTTTATGATAAAATGATGTAAGAAAAAACAGAAAATTTACACGACAAATTCCGAAATTCTTCTCAGTGTCTCCAGCGCAAAATGGCGGCTGTTGATGAAAACTTTTTCTACGCTTGTCAGAAAATGTCGGCCTATAAAGAAACCAAGCGTGTTGATTGGCTTGCGCATACCACGTGACTGCCGGAAGTGCCGATTTGACGCAGGATCGGTCTGAAATTTCTGACGTCAACGCGTTTAAAACCGAACACATACGAAGAAAGCCGAAGTAATTATTCTCATGTAATCAAGTTTTTAGAAACAATTTACATTGTATGATCCTATTTATTAAATAAAAACATTTTTAATATTAAAGTTACTTACTTTTTATGTAATACAAGCATCTCTTGTCAAATACTATAAGAACTTGAAATGCTAATAATTTATTTAAAATTTCCCTCCAAATCGGGAGTGGTCATCATCAATACGTGTCTCTAGTGTTTTGTCTATAGTCAAAACATTTAAGCATAGACAATACCTTTATCTTTTTTTTAGTCAAGGCATAGTTTCATTTTATTCTGCCATATTAGAAATGAAAATATAGTGATTATAATCATCAGCTGTTTCTATCCGGTCAGAAATTTATTTTTATGTTTTTAATCCATACATATATTTTATATTGTTGTACCAAAAATATATGTCGCGATTCCGTCCAGAAAAACTACATCTTTAATTTTATTAAATTAAATAATTATTAGACGTCCGCGCCGTTTTGCGTATGGCTATTATTAATATTCTGGATGTTTTCTACTTATATAAAGTATGTATTTAAAAAATGTATTTGTAGTAGTTGTCTAGTATCTACAACACAAACTCTGCTTATTTTGGGACTAGATGGCACTGTGTGTATTTTTCTGAAATATTATATTACATATTGTTATAATAATGATAAGCAGTTTTTTAAGATAAATAATTTCAATATGAATTATCTCGTACAAAAAGGAAATTCTATAATGAAGTGTAGTGTCAGCGATAATTTATATATATACTTCACAGTAAAAGTCACATTTTACGCAGTCTTTTGTGATAGTTACGATACGGATGTTGACGATTTTGCAATTATATAAGAATCATTTGACAGTTAATATTCATATTGATATGCTAACTCTCTTTTTCTGTTTGACAATCAAAGTAGAATTATTAACAATTATGTTAGGTAATTGTAATTAATTTATAATGAAACATATTTGTTGTATCTTAGTGTATGTATAAACTCAATTTGACTTAAAAGCGTTCAAGAAAAATGTAAAATAATAATTGGCAAAATGTAACGTCATTATTTACGGAACTTCATTAAAAATCATGTGTCTAAATCCTTCGAGCCGGATTAAATTAATGTTCAGAAGGTTTAAGTACTGTTAAACAGAAATATCGAGTTCAGGCCAACGAGTTATATAGGCATAATTACTATGTATTACAATAGTAGACAAATATAATGTGTGAAAAAAGGAATAGTGAATATAACTGTCTAGTGCTAATTGTAAGCTCCTTTTAATCAATTATTCTTAATATGAATTATATATATTAAATAATCTAATAACATATAATATTTAGATATAAGTGAAAAGAAAAACATTTAACATACAAAATAAATATATTCACTAAATACATATTTACATTTCTTTCAATGGTTTTACTCCTAGAATTTCTAGTCCGGTTTTAACAACAATACGAGCTGAGTGAAATACTAGTAGCCTCTGGGCTGCAATATCTGGATCCATATTCATAACTTTTAATTCATTAAACATTTTATTTATATACCGCGCTAGACGAAACAAGTAATTAACAATGATACATGCTTCATATTCCTCATGTGATCTGTACAGAATATCCTCAAATTTTGCTAATTCTGCCACAACTTCCCCAATAACTTCTTCAGGCAAACATTTTGGTTCACATGTATCTGGCAGTGATATTCCACAGTTTTGTTCCAGGCTCCATAATCTACAGTGAAGGTATTGAAGCTTGATTCCACTGTCACCTTCACTTTGTAGAGCTCTATCCCAGTCAAATATATAATCTTTTTGTCTTCTTTGTTTTAAATCATTCACTATGACTGCTGTTGTCCCCAATATGTCACAAGTCTCTTCATTCATGGCAGTGCTTCTTGTATCTGTGAAATATATTTAAAATAAAATAATTATATATACATACTATTTTCCATTTCATTAATATATGGCATTCCATAATAATAATTCTATGACTGATTAAGCAAAGATGGGCATTATATAAAGAGAATTAAATACTTAAAAGCTATATTTAGGGTATGATTGGAGTATTTTATTTGATAAATAAATCAAATTGATTAATAAAATTAGTTTGCCCACAATATAACACAATAGGTAACATTTTTGTTGTTATCATTTGTATTAGTCAGTAATATAACTTAACCAATCTAATTATGTATAAACAAATATATTTAATTCAAGTGATTACTTTTTGATACTCGTTGTTTTTCATACATTTTTCTTTTAGCTTCATCCAGTATATCATTTAGAAAGACAACATTGCCACTTCTAGTGCTCATGCCTTTTATTCTACCAAACTTTACATGTAGACAACCTTCTGTACATTCTTTATCAAGTTGTTTAACTATATCAAGAACAGCTGCAAAGTGATCTGTTTGTGCATTATCTACTACATACAGCATTTTATCAAATTTATATCTTTTATATCTGTCCAGCAGAGCAGCTACATCTCTAGATAGGTACAGGGTAGAGTTGTCACTTTTTAGCACAGTAACATTTCTGTTATTTACATTAGCTACTTTCTTTCCAGTGACATCTGTAGTAATTATATTTTTATTTTCAAGTAAATCTATTATATGTTTAATAGCTCCACCATTATAGTCAGACTCCCAGTGATATTCATCAAACTGTATGCCCAATCTCTGGTACACATTTTCGAGTTCACCTACAGTAATTTCTCTAATATCCTTCCATTTTTCTAAACTAATTTTGCCCTGTTCTATGTCAGAGAAATACTTTCTAGCCTGCTTCTGTACTTCTGCATCAGTGGTTGCTAATTTATTAGCATATACATATGTATCATATAAACACTTTATTGGATTACTTTTAAGTTTACTAACATCAATGTTCTTAGCTTGTAAGCCATACTGTAATAATCCAAATTGTGTGCCCCAGTCACCTAAATAATTTATTTTGGTCACTTTATTATTGAAACATTTGTTAATATTTGCAATAAAGTTACCAATTATGGTAGATCTTAAATGCCCAACATGAAAAGGCTTTGCAATATTCGGGGAGCTGAAGTCTATAACAATGTGCTTTCTTTCAAAGTCTGCATGAAGTTTTTCAAATGATATATCTGGTGTGAGTACATTCTTAAGCATTGTTTCTCTGTCTATTGCAAATTGCAACATCTCCGAACCATTTTCATGTTTTATGGTCTTGTACTGTGGCTCATGAGTGGATGGTACATTTTTATTTAAAAAATTAAGGACAAAACTGTTTTCATGATGCTTATAAGATACATATAAATTTCTCATATTCTTCAACAATGCATTGTCGACTGTACTGGAATACATCTGGAAAATTTGAAATTTATTCTCATAAGTATTATTACCAATACACTGTTGTGTCTACAATTAGTATATGAATATATTTACTACTAGTATTTACATAACCTAATTGTACAACTAAGAACCTAAAATTAAAAAGCTTAAAAAAATATAATATGATGACTAAAATATATTATTAAAAGGGGTCCCTTTAGGCAACGTTCCGAAGATACTGGCAGCATTCCTTCTTTAAATAGCTATGAATTATAAAAATACAAATTTTGTGGTGTCAAAAATAATCTAATATTTTCTATACAGACAAAGAAAATGGAGAGACAATTGTTACATTTTTAGGAATTAAGTCTTGGTCAGTTGCTCTTCTTTTAAAATTAAAATATAAATCAGACAGCAATAATAATATAAAGGAGGTATATTACTACAGATACACATTAAGGTTGTATTTAATATACGTTAAAAGAGGACGTTAATTTATTAAATATAGAAACATTGAAGAATTCTATTAAATCTATAATAGTTATCAACAAAAAAATATGAACTATACAAATGATCAAAAACATCTTATATTATATTATACAGAACCTATGTATATAGATAGGTCCGACCTTTCGGTTTAGACCTTTAATCTTACTTTTGTAAGAAAATACATATGTAGGTATTTTCTTACAAAAGTAAGATTAAAGGTCCAGTTGATGAAAACATTGAAAATATTTGGTTATTTCATAAATACAATAATTACAAAATAAAATTATGGCTTTCCTTGCATTAAATAAAAGAAATATATATTTAAAATTGATTACTTGCCTTGTTCAGTAAATTTAATTTAAATTTAAAACTCTTTTTAATTGAATAACAGGGTTCATAGGGTTAGAATTTCATAGTGAAGATTCTAAGATTCCGTAATTTGAATGGCTATTAAATTTGTAACTGGATATATATTTATCCAGTTATAAATTTAAGTAAGTTTTTAAGTTAAAGAATTAAGAATGCATTATATAAATATTAATACACAAAATTGCTCTTATTTATTTACATCCTATCTTATAGCAGTTCAAAGTTACATATATAGTAGGGTTGTCTAGATCGCGAAAGAACTAGTTCAGAAACGTTCAGATATCTGTGATATAAATTATCTGAATCAAAATTAAACACAAAAACTCGGGAGTTAAAAAAACACATACTTTGGAAACACATTTCTACCACAGATCGACTTAATTTCGAAGTATTTTAAAGCTGTTGGCCTCAGCTGTCCTTTATGATTATTGTGATTAATGCACACAATTAATCATTTTGCAATTAGCATTGTGCAAAGTTGTTAGGTACCAGTTTTTACAGACTACAGATGTGAAAAAATAATCGATTATATTAAAAATCGACATCGATATAGTACATCAACATAACTTTATTGTATGATACCTATGACTCCACTCATGTCATTCCAGAAATGACAATTTTGATAATAATATTCTTAACATTTCTATATAATTTGTGTTGTTAACATAAATTTCTTCCTAATATTGATTGTCACTAAATAAATGCTCCCAAGAATTGAATTGATAATTTCTTGTCTCATTTACGGTATATAAAAAAAAAAGTATAAACAAGTGTGGAACCGACGAACTAGCTCGTAGTAGGATTAGGTTACTCTATGGCTTTGACAGATCATAACCGCAGCAGTTTGAGATCATTTCTAAAAAAGTGAGGTATTACATGATCAAATTTTTTGATTATTGAAATTTTTCAATAATATAGAAATCAGTATTGATCTAATTATATTAACACATACAAGATATCGTGAAAAATATATACTGTTGGTATACATTCTTTAAGTTTAGCTCAATATATTGACTAAACTTTATGTAATGCCTCTAACTCTATTATATTTGGGAATGTAATACACCCTTAAATCTACTTACGGTTGCTAAGCAACTCCTGTGATAAATAAAATAAATACAAAAGTAATTTAATTTCAATATAGAAAAATGATTATATACCGTTTTTCCATCTAAATTATAAAATTCTATTAGAAAGTACAGATTTTGGATGAAATAATGATCGTACGATAATATTAGTATTGATTTTAATTGTTGCTAATGTTAAATTGTATATTACTTTAGAGATTCTACATTAGAATATTCTTTGCAAAATGACAACACCCAAAGTAAGTCTATTATATATGTATTTAGAGATAACTGGTGCCACGATATTGCTCTTTCTCTTTGTAGTTTACTCCACTTATTGGTCTTTGAGCGCGGAGGAGGTGTTTCATGGTAATTGAGACCAAGGGCTCATTTGCAATATTTGTGGTTAATTTGTAGTGATTTTGTATCCTAGAGTATCCGACTTCATGCTAATCCATAACTGAAAACGCGCCAGAATATACCGATAATGGATCTCCATTACCGGTGGAGTTGTACACCCATCTGGGTGTACAACTCCACAATAATTTATTAAACATAATTGTATTAAATTATAATACCACCAGTTTATAAGTACCAACATTGAGATTGAAACCTAGAGAGGTTGAGATGCAATTTAGATACACACAATGTCACTAAACTTTATATAAAAAAATTGCCATATATTAAAATTTAAAACTAATATTACATTGTAGTTGCTGTATACACTAGAGCAGCCTCATGGACTTGGTGAGCTATATTTCCAATGGCAGAAAGGTGAATCTGGTTTGCTGCTGGCCACAACTGGAACTGATGCCACAGTTGCAATCCATGATCGCACTGGGCAGTTAATAGAAAGAATGAAGCTGCAAGGGTGAACTTTTACTTTTATATTTAAAGCTAAATAGAATATTCATTAGTATTTTAAGATTAAATTAAATTAATCTTAAAATTTTATTACTGAATAGATCAAGTGATAGTACCTATATATATACCTATACATATATTGAATCAATTAATAGAAAAAAAAAAATTTAGAACTAAGTATAAATTATGTCTTGTTTATAGTTCTAAGTAAATAAATATTTTTTTCTAATATTTATAAATAAATCCCAAAGTAGATTGGTGATAATTTGTTATTGTTATTTTGTTTGTTGTTTGTCTTGAGTACTTTTGATATTTATTTCTACTTAATTTATTTCTGATTTTAGTGTTTGTGGTGGTATGGAATGGGATAATGATGGGGATTATTTGGCCATTATAACTCCGAGTATTAACTCTGTACTGCTTTGGGAATGCCATGCTAACAAACGTGTTACCGTTGAGACTGGCCTTCGGGAGCCCCCCTCTTCTATAGCTTGGGCATATGGTGAACCATTATTAGCGGTTGGCACTCAAAAAGGCAACCTGGCACTGTACAATCATCATACAACAAAGTAAGTTGATACAATTATTATTATAGCCTTTATTCAGATCAACTTTCAGATTTAAATTATATTACTTATATTAGAAACAAACATTAAACTTAAAAACAAAATTATATACTTTCTGTTGATCTGTTTGCTAATCGGCAAAGGCCTCTTCCATTTGTTTCCATTCTTCTCTTTCTTGAGCCACTCTGTCCCACATTACACTTGCCACATCCCTGATATTATCATCCCATCTTGTGTGGGTCTGTCTCTTTTTTCCCTGCCCTGGGCTACCATCTTGTCACTTGTATAGCATGTACAAATTGTTATTCCAGGAGGATACCAATAATTGGGAAGCATACCAAAAAGATCACTTGCTCTGCTTGGAACAAAGACAGTATTCTAGTGTTGGCATCCGAGGACAAAACTCTTTCTATTAATAATTCCGATGGAGATACTCTTCGTATCATATCCCTTAGAGACACACCAAATGACCTGCAATTTTCTGAAATGAAAACAGATGAGAGAGTAGCTGGAGAAAATACTGTAAGTATATGAATATATAAATAGACATAACAAACAGTTGTATGTTGTAGAAATTTAATCTTCAATAATTTACAACAGTATGAAAAAGAGAGAGTACATGAGAAAAAGAGTACATTATCAATTTTTTAATAATTAATTTTTAATTATCACACTTATAAAAGTTTGAACAAATCTTACTTTTGTTTATTTAAATGCAGTGTGCATTTAAAGTAGATATCGTAGACTAGAGTCAAATAGATTGTGTAGTCAAATGAAAATCTTTTAGTCTATTAAATTTCAATAAATTCTATTGTTAAATTAGCATAAAAAATAACAATAGTTATTAAATAAAATATAATTTCAGATAAGCCTCGTTGTTGGCAAACGAACGTTGTACTTATATAATCTGCTAAATCCAGAGAACCCTATAGAACTAGCATTCCAGCAACGGTATGGGTCAATAGTCTCATACAAGTGGTATGGGGATGGGTACATCCTCATAGGATTCAGCGCTGGCTATATTATATCCATATCTACTCACATAAAGGAGGTCGGCGAGGAATTGTTCCAAGTGAAAAATCATAAGGAAAATTTAACTGATATAGCTGTTTGCAATTCGCTGGCTGCTTCATGTGGTGATGGACAGTAAGTATTCTTTTTATGTAATTGGTATTTCATTGATAACCTGTTGTTATATATATGAATAGTACTACAGACATCAGATCATGTCACGCCCGACCACCACTCGAGATGTTTTTCCGGAGAACAAAGATGTCATACCGTTATTCTGTAGATTGAGAGAGGACAATATGATAAGGCAGCCTTATCTTATTCTTTAATTGAAATACATTACAAAGAAAGTTCTTGTCATCTGAAATAGGTGAGAAAGAGTTACGCGTAGTATACGCGAGAAACTCTTTCTTAAGTTACGTTTTTAAACTCAATACCTGTCTTGAGGTCTTCAACTTCAAATCCTGGTCTTTTAAATTTAGAGTTTTCAACCTTAGTGTAAAGATAATAAATAATAGTGAAGCCTTTTTTCCTAAGGCTTAACATATGCCCAGTCCAACTCCATTTTAATCGGTCTATTCTTGAGAGTACAGCTACATTTTGTTCTCGTTTTGATATCCCATATATTTTATCACTGTCTGATCTCCATCATAGTACTAGTATAAAGTTAGGTCTTGTTTATGATTGGCGCGGTCGTGGCGCAGGCTGAAGCTGATCTCGCTGTGGAACAAGGGCGAGGTGACGGGCGCGGCGCGGCCGGGCGGCGGCGCGGCGCGCGCGGCGTGGAGCGCGGACGGGCGGCTGGTGGCGGCGGCGGGCCGCCACGTGGCCGTCTACGTGACCGCGCTGCCGCCGCTGCACGCCGCGCACGCCGCTCGCGCGCTCGCGCTCTGCTCGCTCTCGCAGGCCACGCTCTACCAGTGCGTGCCGCTCGCGCCCGACGCCGACCCGATCAACTCCGGTCAGTCAAAAACAACTACAAAACTTTATTCATGTAGGTTTATTACAAACTCTTATGATATGTCACATCTAGCGACAGTTCGGAGTGCTTTCTGCACTCTTTTATATAAGTGTCCAAAATTTCAAACACCTCCGTCCGCACAATTTTCGAAAAAATAGGTTTTTGCTTCACGTATTACAAGTTACACGTTTTGTATGAGTGATTTTAACTACGTACAGCGGAGCCCGTGGCTCTGGCCACGTACTCGTTCCCCACGGAGCCGAGTGTGATCGCGCTGGGCGCCTCGCACGTGTGCTGCGTGAGCGGCGCCCACGCGTGGTTCTACCCGCTGGCCGCCGCGGGGGCCGGCCGGGCGGCGCTGCGGCGGCAGTACGCGGCGCCCGTGCAGACCATACGCCTCGCCGGGGATTACGCCGCCGCACTCTTCCAGGGGAAGGCCATGCTGCACTTGGTAATATTATCCATTCAAAACAAGTTGAGAGATTCTTGATTGATAAAAAATAATTCTTAATATTAGTTAAAGTCAATTAATGTTATATAAGGAAATACACTTCGATTTGACGTCCAGCCAAATTCGTGTGAAGTCAAAACCCTTTTTAATAGACTTCCTATGTACCATTAAGATCGAGCAGTCGGATCCATCTGAACCAGAGCGAGAGGCTATGATATTCCCCGAGCCACATATGCAAGACGCTAACATCGTCGATATACTTCTCACCGGTGACTTCTTTATCTTCGTTACTGACGTAAGTATATCTACATATTCTATACTTTGTGTTGGTGCAGATTTAGTAGTATAAATGGTGGAGAAATAGTAGTATAAATTGTAAACGATATTGTAGCAAGGTCACATCGAGTACTTCGGCGTGGAGGAGTGGCGGTCGGCGACGCGGTACAAGCACACGTGCGGCGTGACGGGCGTGTACTGCGACATCAGCGGCGCGCGCGCCTGCGTGGCGGACGAGCGGCGCCGCGCTCACGTGTACTGCCCCGCGGGCGGCGAGCTGGTCGCCGTGCCGCCCGCGCCGCACCCCGCCCCCCTCAGGTGCGTATAATGGTTGATCGAACTGGTCGCCGTGCCGCATCACTCCCTCCTCAGGTGCGTGTACTGTGTACTGCGACACGAGCGGCGAGCCGGTCACCTTGCCGCACCCCGCCTCCTCAGGTGCGTGTACTGTGTACTGTGACACGAGCTGCGAGCCGGTCACCTTGCCGCACCCCGCCTCCTCAGGTGCGTGTACTGTGTACTGCGACATGAGCGGCGAGCGGGTCGCCGTGCCGCCAGCGCCGCACCCCGCCCCCTCAGGTGCGTGTACTGTGTACTGCGAAATGAGCGGCGAGCGGGTCGCCGTGCCGCCAGCGCCGCACCTAGTTCCCGTCAGGTCTGTGTACTGTGTACTGCGACACGAGCGGCGAGCCGGTCACCTTGCCGCACCCCGCCTCCTCAGGTGCGTGTACTGTGTACTGCGACATGAGCGGCGAGCGGGTCGCCGTACCGCCAGTGCCGCACCCCGCCTCCTCAGGTGCGTGTACTGTGTACTGCGACATGAGCGGCGAGCGGGTCGCCGTGCCGCCAGCGCCGCACCTAGTTCCCGTCAGGTCTGTGTACTGTGTACTGCGACACGAGCGGCGAGCCGGTCACCTTGCCGCACCCCGCCTCCTCAGGTGCGTGTACTGTGTACTGCGACATGAGCGGCGAGCGGGTCGCCGTGCCGCCAGCGCCGCACCTAGTTCCCGTCAGGTCTGTGTACTGTGTACTGCGACACGAGCGGCGAGCCGGTCGCCGTGCCGCCAGCGCCGCACCTAGTTCCCGTCAGGTCTGTGTACTGTGTACTGCGACATGAGCGGCGAGCGGGTCGCCGTGCCGCCAGCGCCGCACCTAGTTCCCGTCAGGTCTGTGTACTGTGTACTGCGACATGAGCGGCGAGCGGGTCGCCGTGCCGCCAGCGCCGCTCCTAGTTCCCGTCAGGTCTGTGTACTGTGTACTGCGACACGAGCGGCGAGCCGGTCACCTTGCCGCACACCGCCCCCTCAGGCGCGTGTACTGTGTGTTTCGATGCAAGCGGCGAGCTGGTCGCCGTGTTGCGCGCCGCCCCCCTCAGATGCGTGTACTGTGTATTGCGACACATACGGCGAGCAGGACAACGTACTTGCGAAGTACGGCGCTTGACAGTGAGTCAATTAATTTTGAAGGAGATTTAATGTATTTTACTTTTTAAAATTTACAGAGGCGTGATCTGGGACATCTGTCTGTCGGATCGTAACGTGTTCATCATATTCTCTGAGGAAACGATCGATACGTACTACTACGCGGCCAACTCGATCGACGGTTCGCATGTGGACTACGTGGCCACCACCACAATCCTCACGGGACAGATACCGCTCATTATGTTCTCTGGCGACGTCTACTGCTACGCAACGGGTGGGATGTAAGTTTATTCATCCTATTTTTTATTGAGAACTTGTTGATAGGTTTTATTAAAACATCTAGAAACAACTTGGGTGATAAAAATTAAACTCAAATCCACTTTTTTTATAGGTTTATACGTAACTTATTCGACGATATATTATTTAGTTTAGATATATTAACTAGCTTTAGTTTTTTAACATTACAGTTTAATAACATTTACAGACTTTGTCAAATTGAATATACCTACGTACATACTTACAGTGTACTTTTGGCGTGGCTACCGTAGAAATCTTTAGATGGCAGGCTTATTGCTTATGTAGCCAACCGTTTATAACTCCCTTTTTTATTGTATAGAAGAATCTTCTGTCCCCTCCGTCAGAGGGGTCACAAGGAGGTGTGTAGGATTGTGCAGCACCCGAAGGTTGTTAGAATTTTGTTAGAATTCTGGGGACAGTTTTTTTATTATTATTTTTTAATATTGTTTTTTATATTATATAATAAATATATAGCTTTTTTTAAAACACTTAATATGATCCTTTTGGTCGTCAGCGTGCAGAAGGTGTCCCTAGAGTCGCACCACACGGCCGGGCTGGCGGAGGCGGACGCGGAGAAGCGCGCGGCCAACCAGCGCCTGCACGTGGACAAGCTGGCGCGCCTGCGACGCTTCGCCGACGCCGCGCTCTACTGCGAGGCGCTCGCCGACGACGCCGCTACCAGGCTCCTTGCTGAGCGGGCAGCCGCCGACCTCAATCTCGACTTCGGTATGATATGCATGATTTTTTATAATGTGGACTTATTGCTAGTAATGTGATATGTTCGGTTAGGATTCCATACTGATCAGCTCTTTGACTGATTTATTTTCATGCTTTAGTAAATATTGTTGATATAGTTAAACGGGTTTAACGCAAATAATGATCTATATTGTATATTTTTTAGCTATTCGAATGTATACTCGACTGAGTGATGTTGCTATGGTTTGGGCACTAGAAGATGCGTCGCATATCGAAGATTTATCTATACTGTGGTAAGCAAACTAATATTTTTCTTATAATTTCCACAATAAAACGGAGGTTAATATATATAAATATATAACCAAAATTACAAATTAAATGAGGGACCAGCCTATCCGTAGATCATTAAATTTATAATTTTTAGTTAGTTAAAGGCTGCTCCGGCCAACAGCATTAGATTAGTTCGAAAAATAAAATGCTCGCTTTTCTCCGTTAAACAGTGCGCATGCCTGTTCGCGCGTAAAAAGACCGTGTCGTGTACAGTTTGTTTATGTGCGCACAGCGGCATCCCTCACGATTTGGCGTATACTCGCTTTTCTTACTTAAATCTGCAATGCTGCTGATCGCGCATATAAGAGTGTGTCGCGTAAAATTTATTTGTATGCGCACAGCGGCACCACTCATGATTACGCGATCTCGCTTTCTCACGTTAAATCTGCCGCACACATGTATAAGAGCGCGTCGCGTTTGGTTGTGTGCATACAGTGGTACGGTGTGCGCGTGCTGCGGGCGAGGCGAGGCGGCGGCGCGGTGGCTGGAGGGCGCGGGCGGGGGTGCGGGCGGGGGCGGGGGCGCTGCGGCGGCGGCGCTGGAGCTGCACGCGGCGCGCGGGGACTGGCCGCGTGCGGCCGCGCTCGCCGCTACCGCATGCCCGCGCCGCGCGCCAGACCTCATGCGTCTCCACGCCCACCACCTCGAGCTCACGTACGCTAATTAGTTTTTTTTTGTTCTGTTCATCGTTTAGGAAGGCAAAAGGAACTGTGGCCGTACAGCCTTTGGTCTCCGTTTATTTTGACAGCCACACTGAGCTGTACGAGTCTGCTATGACACATACAGTCTGGGTTCTATGTTGTTGTATATAGTCTTGGGCTGCTTGTTAACTTGATTTAGCGAGTACACGGTCCATGATTGTGGATGGTTGTTTATGTGGATTGAATGCTTGCTTGTGTGGACTAAAGGGAAAATGGTGACGTTTGTACGGTGACATACAGTACAAGTGCACCCTTCTCTTCCAATGGTCGCCAGTTCGATTCTACGCATAATGCAAATATTTGTATTCACGAGTATAACTGTTTGTATCTGTCTAATGTATTGGATATTGGATTGTAAAAAAAAGATATTTAAGTATTTATATCAGATGTTGTAATACCCATAACACAAGTATTGCTTAGGTCCAATACGGAATTAACATGTGCATACGTTTGTAATTCATTACTAGCTTACTCCTTTAACAATTTATAATTTTCTTTAAAAGCTTGGTTTTAATGGGTTGGTTGTTTTCAACAGAGCCGATTATCATGAAGCCCTCGCGAACTACGAAAAAAGTCTAATACCTGATAACACGGATGATCCAAAAGTGATGGAACACAATAGTCGCTGCGAAGCTGGCATCGCTCGTACTAGCATCCGATGCGGAGACGTGGCGCGGGGTGTCACTATGGCCATGAAAAACGCCCATCAAACCATGCTGCTGAAGGATTGCGCGCAATTACTGGAAGAAGAGAAACAGTACAGCCACGCGGCCGCCCTCTACGATCACGCGGGGAACACGGAGAAGGCCGCTTCCTTGTACATCAAACTCAAGTCCTGGCTAAAAGTCGAGGCGCTTCTCCCTAAAATCAACTCCCCCGGGATACATATACAGTACGCGAAGGCTAAAGAAGCCGAGGGCAGATACTCTGACGCTCTAAAGTCGTACTTAAAAGCGCAGGACTACGAATCAGCTATACGATTAAATCTTGAGAAATTAGATGATATCGACGAAGCCGTTACTCTTGTACAGGAATCCAAGTCGGTCCAGGGGGCCAAAATGGTAGCAAACTATTTTCAAAACAGTGACGACCCTAGTTCGGCAATTAAGTTCTTGGTGATGTCCCTATGCTACGATGAAGCTTTTCAGCTGGCCAGAAAGAATGGCAAGTTACATTTGTACGGAGAAATACTGATACAGACTTCACACGCGAGGTCAGAAGATTTTAAAAGTTTAGCGTTGCATTTTGAAGGGGAGAAAAATTATTTATTAGCTGGAAAGTTTTATTTTCACGCCGCGGAGTATAGCAAAGCGTTGTCACATTTGTTAAAGACTGGTAGTGGCTCAGAGGAACTGGAGAATGAGGCCATTGGTATTGCGATTGATGCTGCAGCAGCGAGTGACGATGAACGGCTAACGAGAAGGTCAGTAACTGTTCTTATCAAATAAAGATTTCTTTGCTCATTTATTCATCTACAGAAAATAAAAATAATAAATCAGTTAGAAATAGTGCATTCGCTTTAGAGCATTTACTGATGGAAACGGTACACAAAATTATATAGAGTTTGTATTAATAAGACTAGTAAACATGTCTTATGTCTTACTGAATGCTCAAATAGCTAATATTTTTTAAGTACCTACAGACATAAATCGATGAGGTGTGTGTGAATGCAAAGTCTAAATAAAATTATGTCTAGAATTTTATTAGCGAAAGCGTATTCATATTAGACAATACATTGTCTACTTATTGCTCTATAGGTATATGACTTATTAATTTATTTTCTTCTTTATTTCGTAGATTGTTTTATGTTCTAGGTTAATAGAATTTCTGCTTGGCGAGACAGATGGTACGCCACGCGAGCCGCGTCACTTGTTCCGATTGTACATGGCCAAGAGACAGTTCACCGAGGCCGCAAAAACAGCTGTAAGTTTAATACTTACTTATTAGACATCTATCATTATGTATACTGTATTAGGCCTTTTGCTTGTGATAGGCATATCAATTTTAGACTAGTATATATATATTTTTAAAGATAGTTAAGGTTGAGGAGTACGTTAATCAGCGATTATTTGGAAGCGCGAGCAAATCACGCTGTTTTAACAGTTACTACGGCGAAACTGAAGAATGGTTGAAATATTGCCGAAATATCGGCAAAAACTGAAAAAATGTGATAAGATTCCGTGATAATTAAGTAAGATACGTATGTAAATACACAGCACTATCTAGTCCCAAGCTAAGTAGAGCTTGTTTTATACTAGATATAAATTATTAGATTAGATTTTATAAATACATACATAATATACATAGAAAACACCCAGACCGGTACAAACAATCATAGATACTCATGAATAATGTTTACACCGTGCGAGGAATCGAACCCGCGACCATCTAAGTAAAGCGGTGTGCTTAACAGCTATACCACCGAGGCCATGGGCCGTCGTATATCTCGCAATACTATTAAGTACTACTCTGTGATGTACAGGCTGATTTGTCTCTTCAATGCACACTTTAAGAAGCGTACAGAGTAGAAACGAGATGAATGCATGTATTGTTTGCGCGCGTGCAGGCGATCATCGCGGGCGCGGAGTGCGCGGCGGCGCGGTACCGGGAGGCGCGCGACGTGCTGCGTGACGTCACGCGCGGCGCGCGCGCCCGCCCCGCGCCCGCCCACGTGCGCCGCGCGCTCGCCGCGCTGCACTCCTACATACTGGTACATTCACTATTTATATTCGGACTACTCTCCTGCTGCTGGCCGCTGCCGGCCTTCACAGCTTCACCGCACGATAGTGGGCGTAGCGTAGGGAGATAGTGCAGATGGCACTCCAAAACCAAGAAGGTCAAGAATAGAAAGATATTCTTAGACGCGATGGTTTTTACTTCCTCAGGATAGAGTATGTATTATATACTTATTAATTGTATATATATATATATTATAGAATGTTTCCGTGCCCTGTAATTTAACCGACATATCTCGCTCTTCAACCGATACACAGCTGAAAAAAGAAGTTACACCGATTTATATATCGTGTTATACCGATCATAGCAGTCACTAAATAATATGTAATTAATAAACAGGTTCGTACTCATGTGAAGCGCGGCCGGCATGATCTTGCCGCTCGACTGCTACTACGTATTGCTGCTGATGTTTCTTTCTTCCCAACGCAACAACGTAAGAGAATAACATTTGACAATGTATTACAATACTTAATTGAATAAAATCACGCACAGTATTTTCTATGGCAAGTTGTTATGGATAAAGTAGGTATATCGACTGGACGCTTGTTTAAATCCGACTCAAAGGACCAAAAAGTTATAAATACTTACATGTTTCACATTCTTAGTGGAACTTTTGCCCATAAATTAATATGATTTGTTGTTTCTTTTTATCGTAGATAATGACTTCATAATTTTATGGGAAATGATAATTTTTATTTGTACTGTTGATTTACAGATCAAGTATCAATATTGACGTCGACAGTAATAGAATGCGGTCGTGCCGGGTTAAAACACGAGGCTCATCACTGGGCTAAAGTTCTGATGCAACCTGAATATAGGTCACAGGTAAATTTTCGTTTGCTATGTTTACAACATAGATCATTTTACTGTTATATTTGAAAATTATTTATATTTGCAATATTAAGTAACAATTTTTACTATTTGTGAAATGAGTGTATGCATGTACATTTTGAATTTTTAGTTTTATGTCGGTGGTCTGGCTGGTCTAGCGGTTTAGCACACCACTTTACTTCCGATGATGCCGGGTTCGATTCCAGGCACGGTGTATTCATGAATATGATTGTTTGTATCGGTCTGGGTGTTTTCTATGTATATTATAAAAAATGTTATTAAGTATTTATATCAGTTGTCTAGTATTTATAACACAAGCTCTACTTAGCTTGGCATTAGATTATGCTGTGCGAATTGTCCGGGGTTATTATTATGACTCTGCGTTGTAGTTGCATTTACTTAGATTATAATCAAAAAACTATAGTTGCACCAAAAAATGGTAGTAACAAGTGTATGTAACGCGCTGTGCGTAAATATGTCTGCATTTTATTCGGGTGCTCCCATGTCATGCAACATGTTACGATTCTCAGATCGATCCGAAGTACAGCAAGAAAATAGAGTCTGTGGTGCGACACGCGCCGCGGGGCGGGCCGGGGGCGGAGCCGGGGTACGGTGCGGGGGCGGCGGGGGCGGGGCCGGGGGCGGGGGCGGGGTGCCCCGTGTGCGACGCCGCGCTGCCGGCCGCGGAGCTGCACTGCACGCGCTGTGAAGCACACTTACCCTTCTGTATCGCCACTGTAACTATCAATCATCGCGCTCCCTTATACCACCAACATTCAACCATTAGAGTTTGGTTCAGGTGTCCTTGTGTTTACAATATAGTAGTATTCTCTCCGTTTACTGGCTTCGTATACATGGTGTTTGTTATAGTATTTTTTTTACAGTTGAGTCTCCTGTGTTTAATTTATATATGAACCCATAAATGTTACTTAATTAATAAGATACAGAAGATTCTAGTGGTTTACTATCCTGAATTACATTCAAAAGTTATTCTCAAAAGTTATTACACCAAAAAATAAATTTACGATCATGTCAGTCGTGTACATTACATTGTAATTGCATGACATAATCGCGGCAAGATAAGTAGCAAGTTTTTAATTAATGGATTTATATTTAATTCCGCCCCTATTAGCAGGTGTGTAACATATACTCGGTACCTAAACTTGAAAGCGTTACGACCTTCTAAATGCACTCTTCTCACTTATTAATTCGATTTATAAAGTAGCAGGTTGTAGCTAACATTTTAATTAATGATGATTTTCAGGGATTGCATATCGTCAAAGACGATCTCACGGCGTGTCCAGAATGTGACTTTCCGGCCATCTACTCCGAATTTACAGAGTGAGTTCTTATTAATGTACCGTTGTATTTGCACTGGCAATAATAATTCTATTTCAGATGATGGCAATAATAACCAAATCCATTTAATATTTGTTTACTGTTCAATCTCCTATTCGCTCTATATCTTTAATTAATAGTCACAATAAATAATATCAATATCCCTGGACTATGTTTTGGATACTGGACAATTGAAATAAATACATAGATTTTTTTTTCAAATATGTACATGTATAATATATATAGAAAACACCCAGACCCTCGATGGTAACAACTCATGAAAACATTTATACTCTAAAATACAAATATTTATACAGTCCGAGGAAAGAACCCGCGACCAAATGATGTAAAACGGTATACTAAACCGCTAGACCACCGTGGCCGTACAAAATAAATTTCAATGATAATTATTCCTGATATTAAACTGCTCAAATATATTATGTACCATAATAACATTTCATTGGGATGTTCAAGTCGATTGAGGAGAAATTACAAGTGACTTAGTAAATAGAGGCGATGGAACACCTCGCTGACACAGCCTTTAGTTTTTTCTATAATATTTTTTTATTTCTTTATTCATAAAAACATAAGGGTTACAATCGTAATGGTGATCGCTGGTTATGTACTGGGTAACCCCGAGGCGAAATTAGAGACTTATTTTTTGTGTTTTATGATTCGTTCTTTTTACATGTGGCAATTCTCAATTGTAATCCACAGTACTTACTTTCAAATACTCAATCATGGACCAGGAGGGAAGAATTATAATAGGTAACAATTGTGACCCGCGATTCTGTCTACTATTTTAAATAAAAGATGCTCGTTCTCATAGTAAATTGATGTCTCTCTTTAAGGCGTTGGCATATTATTAGTACAGATTAGAAAGTATAATCATTATAAATGTGAATTGTCTACATGTTTATTGAATATTTACCCTTTAACGGCTCGTTAAATCCTGGTGTATTGCTTATTGAACATGGGTTGATACCCATGTTTAATAAGATTTTCATATTATGTGGAATAAATAAGTTTATTAGGATAAAAATTTATGTCACAGACTTCTACAAGAAGACGGCAAATGTCCTATGTGCGGCGAGAACGTGGACTACCGTCGGCTCGTCAAGATAGACGACGTGTCGCCCTACTTGGACATTAGCACCACGGAATAGAGTTTATTTTGCAATGTGATAGATAGACCGTCCATATATGCCGTAACTAGATCTCCGTCCATTTAGTTTTAAGTAATTAATGGTAGCTTTAGTATTTTATCAACTATATATCCTTACTAAGGATTTTGTGTAATAGTTATTGTATCTACGCAGCAACTGTGCTGTTTTCGTAGTTTCATTGGATTATAAATGAATTTATTTCTGTATCAGAATACGTTTTATGTACAACTGTATTTTATAGATTAAAAAATATTATTTTATAATATTGTTTTATTGGTTACAATAAGACAAAACTTTGAATCGTTAAAACCAATGTGTTATTTGTAATAGTTGTTTATAATCTTCAGCATATAATAATATTTCCGAAATATTTGTGCAGACGAGGGTTGGGGTTCTTATTACAAATAATAAAATCCAATGTTGTAGTGATGAAACATTTAATTTTCATTTGAAAGTATATCAAGTTGTTACACATTCCATACTGAGATTCAAATGAAACGCAAAACACAATGGATAGGAAACATACAAAATAGCGGCGCGAGTCGTCAATCGAACTTGCACGATTCATTTTCGGTCTAAAATTGCAATAAAATAATAGTGTAGGAATACATATTCTCGACAAAGCACACGAAGAGAAGTCTCTTTTTATATTGCACAAAATCACATTGTGTAAAAACGCTATAGTGATTGAATAAATTTGTACGTATGAGCGTGTTCGTGTACATACTAGAATATTTCAGTTAAAAATCATATTTACGGAGTGTGTTACAGTATAAACAAATGCAATTGTGTGTAGACCGAGAATCAATCGGCAGAGATCGGAAGCCCCGCCGCTTCCAATTAATCGCCAGTTATTCTCTACGATCGAATTTCCCTAATATAATTACCACTACCTAGCTACGCCTTAAGTAGACATTACATTTATACAACTTAACATAATGACGAGACGATTATAACAAAATAATACATTCGATAATAAAAATTAATTTCATTGTGCTAATTATATTAAAGGCTCAAGTCAATAGACGCGGCGGTGTACACTCGAATCACGCTATAGTTTAAAATTCACTAGAACTTTAACATTTACAATAAAAAGGAATTATAATTATATTCATATTTTGATGTTGTAAAGTTTACATTCCTTGTTTAACACTATCGAGCCAAAACAGCACGAATTCGAGTTTTTAATTATCTATTAACAATGGCAAAACGAAGAATTAAAGTCTATCTAGTTAGGCTGCTCTTTATAAGCGGGTGGCAGGCGTACTGCGGTCAGCGTCAACACCGACACTATACGACGACAACTTCATAAAACGAAACAACGAAGAAAGAGCAAGTCATATTCGTAAAAGTGATATAAATAAGCAGTATATTGAAACGGAAACTTTGACAATAACTATACAGTGAACGTATTATGTATAAATACAATGTCGACGTATAGAATTCGGGTTGTTCTTTAGTTCCTGCTGTCCGAAATGTAAACGACAAATGTACCTAATTCTCTTTACATTAAGATACAAAATTGATAGAGGAATATAAAAAAGTTAATATTGGTGTTACATTACTTTTTCGTCGGTTGTGATATAGCTATATCTACCTAATGATGATGCACGGATGTGTTCGATTAGTATAAAATTTACAATACGATGGAATGGACGAATGATAGTGCGCTTGACAATAATAATAAACACTAGTCTTGTATGAGAACACATAGTTAAAGGGCTTTAGAGCCTTAAAGTAATCTTTGAATGTGTGAAGGCGAGAGTGGACCGGCGCGATCGCACACTTTTTGGACGTATGAAAGAAACAATATTTTCGTTGGCCGACGCGGATGTCGTGTACCTATATAAATAATATAAATCTTCAATAAAGTTCTCTTTATTCATATAATAGATATATATCTGTTTTAAATATATAATATGTTGGCCGGATTTTTTGTTATATACGCGCGCAGTCCACTCTTTTGCTTCGTTACAAAGTAGCTATTTAAAAATATTTACAGACGATTTCATATATAATATATATATTATAAAAATATTTTAATAACAGACACGATGGCACTCGGTTGCGTCGTAACAGGAGGAAACAACATAATACAGAACTAAACAAGTAGAGGGAACGATATAATTACAATAACATATTTGACACATCGGAGACTACATATATATACGTATTAAAAATAATTCTAACAGTGTTAAGTTATAATAGGGGAATGTATAAAAATTATATTCAACTATATCAATGTTAACTCCTCAACAATAAATACTATAAATCTTTGGTTTCATTTAGTCGCTCGATTACAAAACGTTTTCGTACTCGTGGCTTCCGAGGGGAAGGTGCTACGCTACGGTTCATAAGGTCGGCACTGCGGCGTTGCATATACCAAATGCACTCGCTCCCGGAGGAGCGTAACGCTGGGTGTATATAGACTTCTATAGCAGTGCGGCTACTACTGCGGACGCGTCCATCGCTACGACGCAGTAGTCTGTACTAGTCTTGGAACTGCTTCTACGCGACCATTGCTGCTACGTACGTATCGATGTGGACGCGTCGGTACTCTGCCGCGGCCTCTACTGCAGGTGTGCGAGCTGTTTCGGTAACGCGGACACGACCCTCACGCGGTCACTGAACTGCGGCGGGGGCGCGAGCAGCGGCGGCGCGGGGGGGTCGGGGGCGGGCGCTTGTACGGCGGCGGGCTCCTCCGGGGGCGGCGGCAGCTCCGCCAGCGACACGGCGGCGCGTCGCCGGCCCGGCGCATTGTCTATGTCCACGCCGAGTCGTTCGGCAGCAGAACGGCCACGTGCGCCCACCGACCCGCGCAGCAATGCAGCGGTCGCGCGTTTCCGTGTCAGCGAGTTGTGGCGCTGCATCGGCGGCGGCGCGACCAAGCTCTCAGACGACGAGTGCACGGGCTCCGTACTGATGACGTCATTAGACGACTTGACCGTGACGGAACTGCAGAAGGATACTTTGTCGCGGCGCGGCGGCCGCGCGTGAGCCTCTTGGTCCGAGGAGACTCCTGACGAGGAGTTGTCGCCGTCGTCCCGTTCGCCGCCGCTCGCGAGTTCGTCGCCGCACGACTTGGACGATTTGAGCCTCGTGCGGATTTTTTGTATCTCGTCCACGGAGAACGAGTGCTGCATGGAGCTGGAGCCGGAGCTGCTGCCGCTGGAAGTGAGGGTATACGGTCAGATATCGTACTTGATAGCGATAATGTAGTACAGTAAATATAGTGCACCGACAGACACAATGGACAAACATGACGTTTTTTTAATAAGCCCATATGATCATTATTCGAACGTAAATTGTGACAATTAATAGAATAGACAATCTGCTTATTCCGAAATTAGTGTAAAAAATGAAAGAAAACCACAATAAAATGGAAACTGTAACAAGTTAATGACATAGACAATTATGACAAACTAAGCAGGACTTGTACTGTGTATACTAGACAAGTAATTGATGAACTTTATTGAACAAATGTAAACAAATAATTAAAATTATGAACATAGAAAAATACCTAGATTATTACAAATAGGTAAATACACTCATGAATATAAATGAAATAACAGATGTTTGGGCCTAAAACATATGTTATACATATTCATATATTTAGATCGAACCTGCGACCATCAGAAAGTGGAGAATCTAGGTCGTCGAATTAGAATAATATGGAGTTCATTATTATATTTATGGTAAAGAATCTGTAATGATGTTCGTTTCAGCTATAGACGAGGATGGTAAACATTTAAAAGCAGCATAAGAACCCATCACAAAACCAAAATGAACGGTACCTTTACAATTAGTGTTTCGAAATTAATAGTAAAATTTTTCTCCGGAATTTTCATAAATACTTGTACGGGATGGGATCCTGAAAATGGTATTATTTTTACAAAGTCTGTATTAAATAAATATAGAATTCCTAAATCGGAATTCTATCAGGATATAACTATATAACAAGTTACAAGACGATTCTTGTGGAAGAGAGAGGGGAGAGTGTTAGTCTGGAGGGGGGGGGGGGAGGGGTAGCTGCTGCCCTTTGCATGTCGTCTGTTCATATCTGTGTCTGAGGGTGCTACCAACATTACTAACTTTATAATTAAACTAAGTATATCCTGCGGCAACTGCCTGATTGAATTTGGCTATAATTATCCTATCTCTTAAATAGCTAACACTACGTAAGTTACGCTGTCTATATCACAATACTAATGATTTAGGCCACATGTTAAAAGAGTAAAAAAAATTCTAGATCCGTCAAACCGTTTCGGAGGAGTATCGTTACAAAGAGTGCAAATCAGATCTCTAAGATCGCTCTACGCTTCGCTCAATAAATAGAATATGTAAATGATTCATTGCACACACATCAAACATATTAACAAGTATTAACCCTCCTACTCCTTAATGACATCATAGCTAGCAATTTTACCATGTCGGGTTGACCTCCACGCGGTCTCGTGATAAATATCTGGTGAAAACTGCAACGATGGGCTTACTGAGCTATCATCATCTATATAAAAAACCACCATATATATCATCCATTTAAAAAACCCTGTGTATAACACCTACAAATATAATAAAACTTGTTTAACGTTAGTGATAGACGACACGACACTCGCAAATATAGCCTAAGCCACTTAGTTCAATCAAATGAAGTATAGTCAACAAGTGGTGGTACCTGGTGTTGCTGTTGGCGCTGGTCTCCGCAGCGGGGGGCTCCTTGGGCTTGCGGTCGTCGTCGTCCGACTCGGACATGCTGTAGTCCGGCTCCGGGATCGGCGGCGCCGGTGTCGAGTTCTGTGGACCGGACGGCCGGAACGTTAGTTACTTATGTCTCTAACTTTAATTTGACATACAGAGATGTCAGCCAGTACCGTTCTCTCGCCTATTTTTGCTATTTTCTAGTATGAAGGGCGACGATAGAAATAAATAACAATTAATACAGCGCCATCGAGTTCCACGGTAAGTAGAGTGTGTTATGTGTACTAGATAACTGATATAAATACTTAAATTTTTTGTAAATAAATACATAAAAAAAAACGAAAACACCTAGACCGATATAAACAATTATACTCATGAATACAAATATTTGCACTGTGCCAAGAATCGAACCAGCGAGCATCGGACGTAAAGCAGTGTGCTAAACCGCTAGACCACGAGGTCGTCAAGATATGGTAGAGAATTTACAAGACGGACCCAACGTCCAACGTTCTAAAGCATTTTAAGTATCCACTTAACTTCTGGGTGACTATTGGCAATAGACCGTCGCAGACTCTTTTGTAATTTAACCTGAATATGTAATTTTTTGTTAATTATAGTTCTTCCTTCGTCTTTTTTCCTATTTATAGCTGATATATATATATAAAGCATCTATAATATCTAGAAGTCTTTATCATTTCGAGAGCCAACTAATCCACTGATTTATTACAGGAACGTTTGTTGAGTAGCACTAACATGTCGGCCTCTTACGAGTATCCCTGTATACTGCAGTGCGCGTGTACCTGGCGGACGAAGCCCTTGTGCGCGATGATAGGCTGCGCATAGTGCGGCGCGGAGGCGGCGGCGGGCGCGGGCGCGGGCGCGGCGCCGGACGCGGGCGCGGGCCCGTCCGCCGACGTCCACGCGCGCAGCGACGCAGTCTTGCGGGCTTGCTGCAATATTACAACCGCAACATCGTTACAAATACATTTGCCTTTATTCATACGGTATTTCTATTATACATTCGCTTTTATAAATATGTTACATATATTGTCAGATACTGTACTATGCTCGTTGAATCGTAGATATTAAGTCGTCTTTGTGAATGTTCACTGAATATTTTTTAATACGTAAAATTGTGATTAAAAGGAAATTGTCTGTTCATGCACGCGGAGTGATTATACAAAAATAATAAAATGCAATCACACACGATTACTTGAGCTGCTTTTTCTACGCTAAACCGCACGCTCTCCTGATCGCACGTGAAAGAATGTTTCGTGTAAAGGTAAGTAATATTATCAATTGAAGTATGTACTGACGTGGTATTGGCACATAGGAAAGAATGAACATGTAAACAACATGTAAATGTAGACAACATTTACATGTTCATTCTTTCCTATGTGCACATATATGCACAATCTGTATAATATAATAATAATAATAATCTCAGGACAATTCACACCACGCCATCTAGACCCACGTTAAGCTAGATAAAGCTTGTATTATACAAGCTTTATCTAGCTTAACGTACTAGGTACTAGATACTACCCGTGATAATCGGCAGTAAGGCGGTGTGCTAAATCGCTAGACCACCGAGGCATTCAAATATGTCCTCCGTAAGCCGATTCACGCCTGAAGAAGCTTATGTTGTATTAAAATACGGTAATTGAGGAATATATTTAATATGTTGTGTTTTTCTATAACGTCAAACAGCTAGATTAATAATAAATATGACTACGGTGTATAAACAGTATCTATTATACCACAGGTACGTGTAAAGGTAGGTACTATGATCAATCGAAGCGTGTACTGACGTGGTGGTTGTGTGCGGGCGCGGGCGCGGGTGGGGCGGCGGTGTTGGTGGCGGGCGCGGCGGGGCGGTAGGCGACGGGCGCGAGGTCCCGCGGCGCGGCGTACAGCTTGGCGGCGGCGGCCGGCCGGAACGAGGACGCCGGCCCGCCCGCGCCCGGCGGCGGCGGCGGCGGGTGCGCCGGCGGCGGCACGCGCGACGTACCTGCGCCGCACAGTGTTCCATATCCATTATTATAAATTAAACCAGTCCTTAGTTAATCACGTTGTAGCAGCACACATCATTCGTGTAAAACAGCTACGCGCCAACTTGTATAGTATACTAATGGAAAGTTAAAGTACGTTACTGAATTGTAAATTATTCCGAATAAAATATCCATGAATACGACTAAATTAGTGGTTTCACTTCATCTCATACAACTTATGAGTTACACAAAAAAATACACAGTAGATTACTATACTACACTTAATTAGTTCATGTTTATTACACTACATTAGAGTTGCCATTCGTCCTGTTTTCCTAGGACATGTCCTAGGTTTTGAAGTGTCCTGGGAAGTCCTGAATAGTTATTTGGCTGTCCTGGGTTTTTAAAATATGCGCGCCTCTCAATTATTAATTTTCAACAGTATCTACTTATAATTTTATCAAATACTTTGCTAAAACTGCATAGCTCTGTGTGCTGATATATCATACATATAGCATGTAACACGTACCGTGTACGTCCTCGCTGGAGCGCGTGCGTGGTGGGTGCGCTGCGAGCTCGGCCGCCAGGTCGGGCGTCGAGTGGAACTCGCGCCGCAGCGACTGACATGACCAGCCAGACGACATTCCCTACATCAAAACAAATTAATGCAATTTGTGTCTACTTTTTTAAAAATCAACCTTAATATATTAGCATTAAAGTCTTTTCGTAATTTCATTATTGGGATGTTTTCATACCTTAAAGAATAGAATTCGAATTCCTTCGTTAGAATTCGAGTCGGTTTCTTTAAAGCCAATAAAACACGGTTTCCCATTTGTTAAACAAAAACTTTAGTATATATACATATAAAAAAATGTAGCTGAAGGCTGTCCATATATGAAAGATATATGAGAAAAACTACATTATTATTGGGGAATTTGAATCTTCTTGATTAATGTTATAGAACCCTATAACAAAGTTAGTTAAACATTTGTATATCTACGAGTTTATGTGCTCATTTTAGAATCGCCATCGATTGTTCTTTTAAAGAAAATAAAATTATATGGGTATGACATTAAACAATGTATACACGTGTGTATGTGTGAGCGTACCTTTCCCCTGGAGCGCTTCATCTCCGCGACGGATGCGTAGACGCGCTGCCTTGCGGGCGAGTACGGTGGCGAGTTGGACCCGCCCTGGAACGCAGACCGCGTCATCATCGCGCTCGGTCCGCCCCTGCGCCGTACACAAATTTCAAATTTATTTAATCTCGCATTAACAACCGCTTCCCGTGAATTGGCTTGATAGAAGCAATAAATATTAATATTATTATAAACTATTCATTTGTCATTATTGTCATGCCTACATCCCATTGTTTGTGGGGTAGTATTTAATTTGAAGAAGACCAAATATCGCTCCAAATCTGATCCATGTATTCAGCATATAATTTCTGACACAGTTCACCTCATTTCAATCGTCTTCTGCTTTTACATTCATTCTTTTTTTAGGTTATTGGAATGGAAAACAACCTGACGGACCACCTGATGGTAAGTAAGTAAGTACTCATAAAGCAAGGCCGTCGGTGTGTATTGTGCTGGTAATGATGGGGTGGGGTGGAGCGTGTGTACTCACAGTGCGTCAGTGTCCGCGCCGGCGTCGGCCTGCCGCTGGAACAGCTCCTCGAGCTCGGCGGCCGTGATGCGCGAGGACGCGGGCCGCTGCCGGATGGAAGCCGTGCGCGGCGCCACCGGAGTGCCCGACACGGGAGTTCCGCCTGCACATACACATTATTTTAAGGAATTAAATGGAATGGTGATCTCGCCTGCGCTTAGAGTATATATACGCTGGCGAGACACCAGTGGAGGATGATAAGATGAGTATGAGGTCATGTCTCGTTAGCCTATCGTGGTAAATTCACCAGGAATTTAACGTGATGGCTTCCAGGGAGGTAGAGCCATAATATGGTACATTGCGTAGTATTTATGGTAGTGATAAGGTCATTATATTGAAGTAAAGAAGACAAAACTTACAATTACTACCGCCATGTAGTTGCACAGACTCGGCCGATGAAGATTTACCAGCCACACTCAATGGCTCGCAACTTTCTTCTTTTTCACCGCCGTTCTCTGCAAATACATTTAAACTATACATAATCATACAATTCTATACCTATAATTTTTTTTTATAGTAAATGACACATATTACATAAATAATATATTTATGCGATAATGATAAAAAAAAAAATCGAATTTGCTTCTCTTCAATTCAGTATACACTTACGACTAACCATGAAATATAGTATAGCATGGTGAAGAAGGATTTGATGAAGTACATTGGAGCAGAGAAGAGGAGAGAGGAAGAGATCGGTACAGAGTGGAGGAAAAACACATACCGAGTCCGGCAACCATGGACTTGGCGCGCGCTCGGCCCACGCTCAGCGTGGTGCGCGGGTCGCGTCGTGGCGGCGCTGGTGCGGGGCTGCGGCCTGTACAATTATATGGCAACATTTATACACTAATGAATTAATAATAAGGGTCACTGTTCAGTGGGTGTTAATTATATAAATTAAATATAAAAAAAAAAAAGAAAATAGCAAGCACCTCAATGTATTATTTGCTCAACAAGCAGCAAATTTCTTAAATAAAAAAAGAAAATTTATTGGAAAAGAATCTCGTCGACTATCCCAGCCAGTATGAAGACCAATACCGGTCGTCAATCATATAAATTGTCAGGTTGACAGTTACCATCAGATGGCAGCAGCGTTTGGTCGCGTTGCCGTTGAAATTAAACAAAAAAATAAATTTGTACTGACCACCGGCTGCTTTCCGCGGCAGAGTGGCCGCGTACGGTCGCCCTGAACTGGACAGCTGGTTCTGGGATTTACTCGTCGGTACCGTACACGTGTTGGGCTCGTTGTTACCTACCGATTGCACAAACATTCATTTTGTTAATAATATATTAAGTATGTTGGTAATAAAGAGGTAGCGAAGAAATAATACAACTTTTGAAAAAGTATATTGTTATTACTACCAGTTTTTCAAGAGTAGTGGGTAGTAGTAGACTTGAAAAATAAGGGATTATATGAGCTGCTGGCGAACGGAAAGGACTGTTGTGCACGTGTTTCTAACAATAGATGTCTTCTTATTAATATGATTATAAACGCAGTTTTTTAATTTGGTGTAGGTTGAAATCACAAAATAGTTATATATTTCTTTCTTTATAGCTAAATTCAAGTTTTCATGCTAATACTGTTAAAAATAGATTTTCTTGTTTTTTTTTATTGAAATATATAGGTATCAATTATTACTCACCAGGCGTGCTATTCAACGAGACAACAGTCATGGAGACGAGAGCACCAGAGCTGCGTATTAGTTCCACCACGTGCTCGTGCGACGCCGCCGACACATCTTCACCATTTATCTGAAGATTATAAAGTTTATGTTGTAGAAAATATTAAGAACATGATATCTGTAGCTCCTCAAGATTACCTTTGGATTAATACTTTGAAGAATATTTTTAATATGAATATTCGATGCATACTGTAACATAACATATCACAGACCCTAGAGTATATTTTACTTTTTTACGTGTATTTTACAATGTGTAGTCAGCAGGAGTAGGCCTTCAGCCACTCGATACATCATTCCGCGGATTTGGAGGGCTATCTGCACAAGTCTGCATTAGCATACTATCATCCTCGGAAGCTGTAAAGGCCAGCTGCGGCGAATAGCAGTAGTCCGAAAAAATGTATGAATAAAAGAGCGATGAATATTACCGCAACTAGGAAGTCCCCCTTGCGCAGGCCGGCGCGGTCGGCGACGCCGCCGACGTCGACGTCGTCGAGGTACTGAAGCGCGGGGCATCGTTCGCTGGGCTGCAGTTCCATGAGTGGTGACGACGCTTTTGCGCCGCGCAGCACGAACCCGAACCCGCGCCGCGCGCGGTGCAACACCACCGTGCGGGAACAAGCGCGCCCTCCCGCGAACCTTGAATGCGTTAATACCTGCCTTTACACGTACGCTGTTTTACGCGGGAAAGGGTGTGCATGTAAATTTAAACAAAGTGTGCGCGTGTGCCGCCAGCTCGCGTATTCCTGCGGTTTTTCAAATGTACATGCTTTAGCGCCTTTTTGTAATAATCTATTCTCATTGCAAAATGTGACTATGGACCAAAGAGATAATTATAGACTTATTGTAATTTATAAATCTTAATCGTGTCCTTTGAAAATAAAATATATGGAATATAAAAGAAATTTTAATGATATGAAAATTACGCGTAATGACGCGCATCAGTGGACACAAAAAATAGTAAAATGCATTCTCTCACGATACTTCAAACTTCAAACCGAACCATAAAATTGGTGAACTTGGTGCACCGGATGAAATTGGTGATACAGAAGCAACTTCAGTAGTATGTTACTATTTCTTAATCTTATTGAGAGCAAACAAGACAAATATCTACAACTAATAAAAACAGAAATAAAATGAAGAAAAATTTCATGACAATAATAACCTTTGCAAAATGATTCCTATAAATAATTTCGTGCATGTTGACTCTAGTACGGCGATGTTATTCACAGCGAGTAAATTTTGTAACGTGTCTTTGACTAAATACATGGATATTATTACGTGAATTATTCTTGTGTGAATGGACCACTAATAAATACAGTTAAATACTATTACACTACGCGTAATAAAACGTCGATATCTACGAGCAGCAGACTGCAAATGTTTGCAGAATGTTTCAGTCTGTTTTTGTTTTGATTATCTTCATTGTTGAAATGTTTGTTTATAACTTGTTGTATACTTTAGTCACCGCTAATTTATGTGTAAATGATTAAAGTATTTAAATAATAAATAGTTACGACGGTCTTTGTGATTTAGCACACCATCATGACGACTGACATGACGCGGGTTCGATTCTAGCAAGCTATAAACATTTGCATATGAAGTTCTAATTTTTTGCATGTACTACAAAAATACATTTAAGTATTTCTATCAATATTTTAATACGTATAGGTATTAAAATATTGCAGGTCTGCAGGTCGTCTACACCCTTAGGAGGGTGCAGGTTGGGTAGTTTTGTTTAATTAATTAATTAATGTAACTAATAAAAATCTGAATCATGATTACTTGAATAAATAAATAAATAAATATTATTGTTATGATTATTAGTAACAGTCAAATCAAGATTATAAACTGGGCTGTTATAATGACAATAAAAAGCAACTTACGTTTTCTTTATTCTAGGTGCTGTTGCGCTATACGTTTTGCTTAATGCCATTTCTCTTCTGCCGGTTACTCTAGAATGGTGGATTGGTCCTGACGAAAGCACCTGGAAGTTAAGAGAAAATTTATTAGGTGATACAAAATACTATATTAAATCATCATAAATATGTAACTTCCAATTAGCTGTTGGCTGACCTCGGTAGCAGTTTAGCATTTTGCTTTCCTTTAAAATAATCGTATGTTCCATTCGCACACAATACAAATATTTGTATTCGTATACTAGCTATAGTATAATTTAATATACACATATAAATTAAAATCGCTATTAAAATTGGGTTGTACGTATTCTTTAATGCCACATTACAAAAAAATAATAAAAAAAGAATTTGGCAAAAAAATATTTTTTTTCGGCGGTTCAGGGGTTCTTTTAGGAGTATAAAAATAGATAGTAGCCGATTAGAGCTACTGAATATATCGTTTATTATTTGATGTCTTCGTCGTTAGTATTAACATCCATCTACAATAACGGATCAAGATACTGATGCGACATATAAATGTTTCCTTCCACCTATTGACTGCTACAATGGAATACAATAATAAATAGTGGCCTCATCACAGCTGCTAAAATACCTGGTGCAGGTGAGCGTTGTTCTGCCGGAGCCGCACTTCCTGCACGCAGTGCGCGGGGAACAGCCCCGCGGCCCCCCGCGACGCGCCCCCCGCCCCCCGCACCGCGCCCTCCAGCAGACCGTCGTCAGTCGCGCCCACCACTGCAAACATTAAAAGCTGTTTATACAAAACTATTACGTGAAAAAATATTATAGTAGTATGCTGTAGTTGGTAGGTGTTATTTTCTGCTTATAGGATTGATGTAGTGCTAGTTGGAATAACTATACCTAAATTAAATATATTTATATATTATTCGATATTCTCTATCAGAAATCTGTATACATTAATTTTTTAATTTAAATAATAATATCATTGAAATCTGATTACAGAAATCTGTTTAAATTCATTTTTAAATTAATTAAATGTTTAATGTTTAAATTAATTTAACATTAAATTAATTTTAAAATGAATTTAAACAGATTTCTGTAATCAGATTTGTAACATTTTTTTCAATTTTATTTCAATTTGTAACATTTTTATGAATTTCAATAATATGTCTTGGATTTTTTTTAAGTTTATCATAGTACAAGTTATGATTTTGGATGTACTACAAAAAAAGTTTGGGACTAGATGGCGCTGTAACATTAGCAAAGCTTTTCTTTTTATTATTGCTTATTACTTATCTACACAACTATGCTACTAAAATTAATATTTCCTGTTATACCTTTCAGTTATATCACCTATTTAACTAAATGCACCATAAACATAACAAGGATCTATAACAATTTACTCTATGTTCAACTGGTGCAATCCCGATTCACAACTTTATACTATACCTAATATAATCGAGAAAAAAATAACATTGTTCGATTTTTAAGAAATAATCTTCAACAACACACTAAAGCTGTATGGTAAATATTTCTTTCGACAAAGTCACATTACTACTAATTAATAAAATACATTTTTATACCATAAATATTTTACAACACATGTTACTGCGTCATGTTTGATCAATTGTGAAATGGTTTCCACGTAATGAATGACCATGATATAGGTGCAAATTGTTTCATCCGTACGGTTAATATTTAATTCACTGAATGTATGTATATATTAGTATGCGTACTAATAAAGTTATAGAAATGAATTTGATGTAGTTAGTCATTCGAGGGTAATGAACTTAGAATGCTGGTACCACATAATAACACTATACTTATTTTTAAACTTTCGCGTTTAGTACACATTATTAATTTTAAACGGGGTTTAACACGAATAATTTTCGTTGTTTCGACTAGATTCCACTAGCCGTGGTCATGAGCTCACTGGAGTAGTTTAAACGTAGAGAGAGGTAAATACTTTTATTTGCCATAAAATTATTCGTGTTAAAACCCGTTTAAATATATTAATAAACTACACAATACCCTAGAAAACAACATTATTAGAAATAATTATCTTTTATAGCTTAGGGGTCAAGCGAATTTGCGGCGCACCTGACGCAAACAAGCGCAATTTTAGGGGAGTTACAAATCAAACAGATACTTTTATTTCTTGTTGCTATATTATAGACGGCGTCGGTGGTCTAATGGTTTAGCTTTACTACCGATGGTCGCGGGTTCGTTTCCTCGAACGATATAAACATTTGTTTTCTTGAGTATGAATGCTTGTCTTGGTGTTTTCTATGTATTTCGTAAAAGAAAAAAGCTTAGCGAATAACATGGATTATATTTCATTAATAAAAAAATAGAGTTCCCTACAATACCGTTAGTAATGAATCGATATCAAAAATTCTATTTTATTAAAAACAAAATAGAATTCCCTACAATAATTGCTCACGTGCGAAGTCGGGGAGTAGCGTTAGTATTACTACATAATATATACCTTCAATGATGTCGCCCTGCGCGAGCCGCAGGTGTCCTGGCGCGGCGGGCTCGTATGGCTGCAGGCAGACGACGGTGGTGGCGAGCGCCTGCAGTGAGCACGTGGTCGTGTCCGAGTTGCTGGTGCCCACGCCGCTCGAGTCCGATATGATGTCGCTAGTGTCGCCCGCGCTCTTATCTGTCGACACCGTGTCCCGCGCGCGTCAAATCAACCGTAACACCGCCAAATAGCGTTTGTTTTAGATTGGCATTGATATATTGTTGCCAGATTGAGGATAGATCCTCAAATTTGGGGGAGATTTTAGACGAATTACGGAAATATTTCGTTTATGCATGACTGAGGTACAACTACATAGAACCGCTGTGTTGCGTAGGTTTTGGCATTGATATATTGTTGCCATTTTATGGAGAATAGATCCCAAATTTGGGGAGATTTTACACGTGGAAGACAGTATCAGGTTAGGGACAATAGAAGGAGTGTGCTCATTGATACAACGATTGGTAAGGGATTTTTGTTTCAAAACTTGCTTTTTTATACTTACAGAGAAAAGGAAATGAAAAACAGCTATTAGATGTTTAACTTGCTTTTATAATGATAAGTAAATAGCTACCTAATTTAAGTATGTGTTTTCCAAAGAAGACATTTTGTTTATGCATAAGTGGGCTACAACTACACAGGACGCTGCGTAGAGTTTGTTTTGGAATGGCATTGATATATTGTTACCAGATTGAGTATAAATCAACTTTGGGGAGATTTGACAAAGTTCATAGGACTCCTTTTCATATTTCCTGTTCATAGGAAAAGGAGTGTGCTTTGTTTATAACGCTTGGTAAGGTAACAAATTTTTTTTTCATAACTTGACTTTTTCTAGTTAGGGAGAAAAGCAAGATAAACTACTGAAAACATACCTTTATTGCCAGATGTTTATCTTGCCTCAAATTTGGGGAGATTTTATAAAGTTCGTAGGGAGAGATTATTAGGTTAGGAAGTTTGCTCAGTGCAAAGTGCAATTCTAGACGCACAATATGTTTAGAAATATTTGTAAAGTAACAAATAGGATATTAATTTTAAAACTTATTTTTATAGTTAGGGAGAAAAGCAAGATAAATTGGCAACATTTCTTTATAGCCAGATGTTTATCTTGCCTTTTTAATAGAAACTAAATACCTACCTAAATCACATTATGTGCATAATAGTGCAACTTCTACGTGAACATTTTTTTTTAATAAACATATATAGTCTACGGTTCAAGACAGGAATATTTAGGAGTATATTTCCAGTAGTTTGTTGAGAGGGAAACATATTTTAATTGTACTCTAGAGGTAATGTAGAGACGAAATCCCAAAATGTGTATTTTACCATAATTTTCTATAACACCTGTTGCTTAAATTAAAATAAAGAATTATTATTTAAACGGTCTGTTATATAGAACTTTATAAATAAGTTAAAATGACGTATATCTAAATCTAAAGGGAAATAGGTTAAGTCCTATATTCAAGAAATAGGGACGAAGCGGAGAAGCGGATGATAACATCTACTTATTAACAAAAGGCACACATAACATGCAGTGGGGTGATCGTCGGTGGTGCTTCTGATGTGCATGGTGATGGTTGTCCTGTGTCGGTATACGGGTTGAGGCTTCACGCCTGTACATCACGGGTTACCGTCCTGCAATATTAGGTACCTGTGAGAATGCTGGCGTCGTCTTCGTGGCTCGGATGGCTCGCGTCGCTGATGCTGGACGACGCTGAGGAGAAGGGCCTCTCCAGACTGCACGGTGATGCAGTAGAACCACCAGGCCGTCTCAGGATAGCGTCAAACTCCGCAGGTATTCTCGTGGAGGAAGCCAGCGAGGAGCGGTCCCCTGCGGTCCACCACCCTCCCCAGGCGGCCGATCGTCTCTTCGGGTTGTATCGTGGCGGTCCGCGGAACGGCACTGTAATGGTTTCGTTAGCAAACGGAACAAAATAATAACAAAAGTAAAGGTGCGTCAAATTAATTGACTCGGAAACAAAAAGTGCCAACTCCAAGTGTAAAACAATCTTAACCGTGCTGTAACTAAATATATAAAACTTATATATATTAATTATAACAAATACAAATTATATTATAATAATTATAATTAAATATGCCGAATATATAATATACACTTTTTATAAAATAAATTGTTTGTTTTGTGTGTGTGTTGATTAGTGAGCTATATCATATTATATAAGACAATTTTCAACGTTATATCCCAATCTACAACCATCACCATCATGATAAAGCAATGAATAAAAACATCTATTAAAAAAATAAGTATATAAGTATATAGTGAGGATGATATCATGCAATAATATATGAAAATTTTCGAATACAAATACATCTGTAATAAATACGATTATATATGCATATAAAATATAAAGTTGCTTAATATTAATAGGTTAAGGATTCTCAAATGCAATTAATAAAGTTTGACGTATATACATTGTTAGATTGTTAGAAAGGTCACAATAAGAGAATCTAAGAATCCTAAAAAGTAGTTAGGTATATAAAGCACCAAATGACATGCAGTATTTATTGTATGATTCTTGACTCACCGACTTCATCTGCCTTGTAATTTTTTATAACTTCTGCTAATTCCAAATTTCCTGCTATAACTGCAACCTGAAATAATAATAAATTAAATTTAATAGCGGCAACACGCTACTAGGATCTTAACAATATTCTTATAATGATTGCTTCATTATAAGAATTTTGTTAGATGAAAATGTTTATTGTTATTGGCAAATGATTTCTTAGACTTATGACTTAAACAATATTTTTTCTTTAAAAATATACTTTTAAGTAAATACGTACATAATTAAAAAAATAACATATACAGAAGGATACAAACAGATTCTGCAGGGATTTTACCCACGCTGGCTGGTAAGGTATGAGTGCCAACCAAGGACATCAAATAATCTTCGGGCTTTGGATTTTTAAGTGATTAATAAATTGAAACAAAGTTCGGTAGCATAGGTTAATAAGTGTACGGATACTGCGAATATTGTGTGTGTCGCGATTTTTACAACAACCTTTGACGGTAGTTGAACAAGCTACCAGCAACTACGAGTATAAAACATTGACATTCGTTGTTAGTCCAGTGACCATTGTCTCGTGACCACAGCTATTGCAACTTAGTCGAAACACTGTTAGAGGATACCATAAAAATAAATGTCATCAAATAACTTTTGAATATTTTTTCAATTTAATTCAAAATATATTTATTCATTTAGGTCTATTACAGACTCTTATGATATGTCAAATCTACCATCAGTTCGAAATGACTTTAAGGTTAGAAGAATTAACAAGAAACACAGCTCGTATTATTTTCAAATTAATGTTTGCAATAATACAGATTCATTTGAAATTTGGGAGAATAGGGTGACCACCAGCATATGCTACAGTAAAAGCAAATAGTCTAATCAGTGTTCGTAACCCGAACAGACCAGTCCGCAGAAGCAAGACTCGTTCACGAGTAATGAATAATGTAATAGTCACCTGGTAGGGTGTTTGGTTGGCGTAGTTGAGCGCCTCCTTGTCGCAGCCTCGGAACAGCAGCTGCCGCGCGCACGAGTCTTGCGCGTTAACCGCGCACACGTGCAGCGGCGTGTTCCCGGACGCGTTGCGCGCGTTCATATCCGCGCCATAGAATAACAGGTGGTCCAGGTTCTGGACTAGGCCGTTTCGACACGCCTACAAAATGGTAACAATTATTATAACATTTCAGACCCAGGACCATCTAATAATAACAGAGCGCCATAATGGGAACAATTATAATAATAACCCAGGACTATTCACACAGCGCCATCTGCACTGGACCAAGTTTTTTTATGGATTATAATGGAATAGTGGCCTCGTTTATAAAGCAAATAGACGCAATTATAATAAAGACACGATTATTTTTTAAATCACCGTTATCAGATGGAAGTGGATTGTCAGTAATAAAATCTAGTGTGCTAGGAATGCGCCACAACAGCGACATCCACGCAGTTTTCTTCGGCAACTTCGGCATAGTCGTTCTTTGTGTTCATAGTTCATTGTCCACGTCTATCGTGGAATTAACTGACCTAACTATATGATCATCTTAAGATCCTCCACTGGCAGCCTATACTATTTGAGCTGTTCGGTGTACAATTGAATAGTTACATATTTAAAAAAAAAGAATCGTTATCACTATAATAGACTAAATTATTCTTCACAAGAAAAGTATTTATTTTAAATGTTCCATAAAATTTTCATAAACTTAAAATTTGGTAAATTAAATATAACGATAAATATACGATGCACAACTAGATTATTATTATGGGATAGTTCCAATTTTGAGACTAACAATTTGGTTAATACAGGAGAAGCCTACCTGATGCACTTCCTGCCATCCCTGTAAGTCAGTCGCTCCAATGGTGGCGTGATCATGTAACAACGTTTCACACAGCAGTGGATCAGTCTTATTCGTGACTGACAGGTACAGCGGCGTAAGGCCTTTTCCATCTTTGTAGTTGGGCGAGGCGCCAAGTTCTAGAAGAGTTTTCACTGCTTCCAGAGAATTCTTTTCTACTGCTCTATGCACTGCAGTGCTGCCATCCTTCGTTCGGTAGTCGAGGAGGGCGCCACCATTAACTAGTGCTATTAGTACCTTCCCTGGTGATTTTAGGCCAGCTGCGATGGTTAGGGGTGTTTCTGTAACGCAAAAAACATATACTCAGTAAGTATCTACTACTAGTTCGTAGGCTGTCTCTACTGGAAACTAACGAGGTTAATTCCTGGTGGATGCCTGGTGGACGCCACGATCGTGAACTTAACCTGACTTTACGCTCATCTTATCACCTTCTATTCACATTATTGCTATTTTATACACATCCATAAGAAGAATATTAATATTTATAGTATCTGTCTTATAATTTTGCATTTTGCTCGTGGCAAAGGTTAGTCTCTTTTCATTGTCTCTATGAAGGCTCATTGGAATACAAGAAGTAATTCTATTACCTAGCGCACCTAATAAAGCTTTAGCCTTCTTTAGGTACGTGGTAGAATTAACCATTAATTTCTTTTTCCAGAATTGAACGCTTGCGGGCTGTTTTACAGTAAATTTATTGATATTGTTCTCCTGTATTTTATTTAAACTGACGGAAACCGATATTTATTTGGAAAAGTAGAAATTTCTACTCCGGGACAAAAAACAGTCGGAAAACAGCATCATTCTATCCAAACTGGTACTGAATTTCGCGTTAAGTATACATAATTTAAATAAAAAAATATAGTTAAAACTTAATATTAGTATTCCATACAGTTTTACCTATGTATATGATAACCCTTCAGGAAATCATTATATATATCTAGGCCAATAAACGGCAATACTAAAATATTGTATAGATATTGATTGACGTAATTCTCAGTGCAGCAGAGCAAAACAATTCCCATTATACAGGCAGACATAAATAAATCAGCAAGGAGTAAATACGTTATGAATTCGGCACAGTCAGACTCAAGGCTGAAACGATATTTATCGTGGATTATGCACAGCTCGATTGATACGCTACTCCAACAATAGCACTATACTAGTTTAGTAACCGAACAATAGGAGATAAGGCATCGATATGCAAATTTCTTCAGTCATACGCGTCGGGCTACTGTACTGGCTTCATTTAATTTACTTGAAGATAACGGTTTATCTGAACATTTGTATAATACATGTAGCTTTATTGTATCTATTACAACTACTTTGGGCATTGTTAATCCTCAACAATACTTTGGTGTTTATATTCAGTTACTTTGTTTTGAACATATAAATAATGATGTAAGGAAAAAGGTCTGTAGAGATGCTGTAGACGCAATTTTCTAGGATTTCTTATATCCTAGAAAAGAGCGCCATCATCTAATTATAATCGAGTCTTTCACAGGCTCTTTCCAAAATATGTGAAAACGTAGACTTAGTTGCGTCATTTAACAAAGGTAACTACTACATTACAGCACAAGTACTAGTATATTTAAATAATAGATATAGATATGTATACGCAGTTATTACAGTACTATATATTTTAGTTTTAAACGCATTCTGACTGAAATATTTTTTTTTGGATTGGACACCTCTACATTGAACCTCATTTGTTTTGATCCTGAAGATATTTTATCTTCTTATATATTCTCTATCAGCAGTATTTCCAAACGATGAAAGTCCCCGAAAGAGCTTATGTCAATTTACATGCATTTTGCACTTTTCCATTAGCGCTGTCGCTAATAGAATAATAATTACTTCATTTAAAATTCAAGCGATAATATGCTTTGTTTCTCATTTCCATCTCATCTGTTATATAATTCATTATCATTATATGTGATTACAAAAATTCGTAGAAATTATTTATATATTTCTAATTACTGGCAATTATATTTGTTTGGAACTTAGAAGATGTAAACCAATTGTTAGATTCACCATCTAGGGACATATACCACATAGAGATAATCGGTCATGAGAGGATTGCTAGCAATGGAGATTATTATCCGCATTTCTAGCAGGTTATCTTCCGGCTCTACTTGAAGACCATCGTAGTTAATTCGTGGTAATAAATACCCTGATTTAAACCTAATCACGCACAGCTCATGCAGAATCACTATTTTATGCCTACACTTTTAATATTTCTATTCAACATTCGGCACCTTTGCATTAGTTTCCATCTCCATATACTTACTAACTTCGATTTAAGTTAAAGTCAGTACATGTTACGACTCCACGTCAAATGTACCCGTTACTAATAAGCCATATGAGCACAATATTAAATATACTTACTAATGTAGTTCAATTATTACATCCGTATACTCACTACTTAAATACTACAGGAAACAAATTAAGTAGCGACACCTCCTCACATCATATATAACGTTCCAGTGGTCAGGTGATAACTACAACTCTACAGTATAATCCTTTAAGAATCTTACCTCCGGTATCTTGACAGTGGAAGTTAGGGTCCAGTCCCTTGGCGCAGGCTTTGGTAATTTTGTCGAGTTGTGCATGCGTAACGTGCTCGAGAAACCGCCTCAAGTTTGCTCGTGAGTGCAGCGTCTTTAGTGTCTTCTCGTCCAACTTCAGCATTTTGTATACGCGCCGTTTATATTTTAACTGAAAGACACATAATATTCATGTATATTTTATTACAAATAAACAATAAGTGTCATAGGATGAAAATGGTGCTAACGAATTACGCTGGCGGGGCTCCAGTGAAAGATAATAGGATGAGCATGAAGTTAGGCCAGTTAGCCCATCGTCACAATTTACCGGGAATTAACCATTAAGGTTCCCAGGGAGAACCGCGTGGAGGTCGGACTAATTTGGTACATTACTAGCAATGGGGTCACTAGTCCTCATTACTTTCAATCCCCTCCCCCCTTTTAATAATCACTTGACTTAAGATACAATCTTTAAGTGAAACAAAATAGAGTTGAATTTCGTACAATTACTAGTATATTTTATTACCAGTAGAGAATTAAGTTTATTTTATTACCTAATAATAATAATAACAAAGGTAAATTTTATTTTGATGTACCTGACTTGAAATAAAATCTTTAAGTGAAATGCAATAAACAGAGTTGATTTTTTCACAAACATAGTTTCAACAGAGGAGGCGTGGGAAGCAATTCAAATATTTTTTCGCTTTAAGGAAATTCCAGACATACAAACACTCCACGTTGGAATTACAAAAAAAGTTGGACTGTAGCTTTTGCAAGAGATGCGGACGGAGATATAATTGTGGCATAACATACAGTTAACATCAAAAGGAGGTAAGTGTGTATCATTTCATCTAATCGTCGCATTGCAGGCTCTATGGGTGTTCAACTACAAGTGTGTATCGTCTAGTGTTGCCAGATCTTACGTTATAAAAAAAGAAAAGAAAATAAAACAAGAAGACATTTTTGAAAAATAAATGCATTCATTTTTCCCATCGTTAGCATATTTATTAAAGTGAAGTTACAATAATAATTTTCGTTATTATTATTCATATTGTACAATTACACTTATTAATTACTTACACCGCCTTATTAGGAAGGTTTGGAATTCGATTCCTCGCACGAAACAGACATTTGTAGTAATGTGTATGCTTGTTTGTTTTCTATGTATACTACGTATATATCATATATATTAAAAAAAAATGTTTAAGTTTTTATATCACTTGTTAAGTACCCACAACACAAACTTTAACTTGGGACTAGACAGTGCTGTGTGAACTATCCGGGATTATTTATTGGAACTTTGGTTATTAAATTTATATCTGGCCGTATAAAAGAGATGAATTTTTGTGTTTAGATTGGTAGTGTATTCGGTGTCTTCTATTGTTCGTGAATTTTGCTATTAATATGTTGTAAGCCTTTTTATTTTTACCGATTATACAGATATTTTACTTTTGCAGTTCACTATATTTATTAACGTTGCGTATGAAACCGCTACAATATTATTATAAGTTTATTATCCTGTAATATTGGGAGGTCTGGCAACACTGATGGGGACCGTACTCGGTGTCGACAGACGCTAGTCGTCCGATACGCTGGTATGCTCCTGTCCATAGAAGGTAAAGAACGCGGACGCGCGCCACGCAGTTAGTTCGTAATAAATTACTTGCATTTATCATGTTATTTTAGTACATAGCACAGACGTGCACTTTAGACGTCGTTTTACAGTCAAGATATATGAGGTATGAATGAATTATTATTTATTCAAATAAAACGTAACACTATTTTTTTTTTTCTATAAATATAATAGCAACAATAAAATACTGCAAATTGAGATTTATGATTGATTCTTCAGTGAAAGAAATACTACTATGCCGTAAAATATAATTAATAAACGAATTAATTAGACAAATCTCGGCTGTGACAACGAAGCGAAAAGTGTGTAGGTATATTGAATGTTGCGTTCACCACTACGTCAACAGCTAACAATAGTTCTGACTGGGGTAGTCAGTGTACAGGAGGCACGGTTGTCACGAGCGTCACATGATGACATCACGTCCATGTTACTAGTCATGTATATAGGTGACTGTTGTCACTTACCATCAGGTGGGTTGTTAGCCAGCCTATTTGCCATTCCAAGAGATAGGCTTGAACTTCTTAGTATTCCATGAATTTACCGTGCAGGTGCCGGGACAGAGGTAATGGTATGGCACAGAGGGAAACTCTGAGCAGTTCCCAGGACTTGTGACCTTAGCTGTAAAAAAGATAAATAGTAATTATAATTACCTCGAGGTATCCAACAGGCCCGTTGAAGGGGTAGTCGCCAAGCCGTCGTTCCTCATCCAAGAACTTGCCGGCTTTGCCGTTGACCGGAGGGCAGAACAGACCATAGTTGAAGCTCTCCTTTAGCTCCTGTAAATAAAAAAATACATGTTTAATTATTGCTGCAACATTTTGAGCAATATATTAAAAATTAAACCACAATAATAATCTAATTATACGGCCTCTTTGAACGACACCCCAGAAGAATAAATAGATTCTCCTTTATTCAAACAGCAGAAATTTTGATGTAATTGAGCGCGCCTCATGTTGTTACAGTGTTTTATAATCCTCCATTTTATTTTACGACAATAATTCTCAAATATTATTGTGGTAATTTGAATTTTGTACGTGATTTTCTACAGATGTTTGTACATAGCGTAGAAACAGCATGAATTCTATATAAAGCATTTATGTACGACATGATTTGGTAATTGAATCGGTTGGGTTCTTATGAATGAAAATGGAATAGTGCACCCGCCTACGCTATTGATTTACGCTGGCGGGGCACCAGTTGAAGACGATAAGATTAGCTTAAGGTCAGGTCAGTTAGCCCATCGTTGTAAATTCATCACGATTTTCCATGGAGAACCACGAGGGTCAACCTTACCTGGTATATTGCTAGCAATGGGTTTCGTGCGTTATCAGTGAACATAACGGTCTGATTAACGTAACGTTCTAACTGTAGCCCAGTTAGCCAGCCTGCAGCTAGGACTAGCTACTTTAGCTACCAATTTATCATTATTCGATAAATCGTCCAGACCGATCGAGTGTCAGGTATAAACCATCACGATACTGAGAATATTTGTTTTCACTATGGAACAGATAATAGCAATAGTGTTCACTATTATAAACTCTATATTCAGCACTATTTAATTGTTTTAATATTAGGTATTAGATATACCATATATCACTACGTCCTATTATAACATATCATAGCTGTGCTGTGTTAGAATTTTATATATGCTTTTACTTTAAGAAGACATATAAATATTAAGTTAACAATAAGGATAGTACCGCATAGTTGATTGATGATTGCATGATTTATAGAGTAACATATATCAATAGCAATTATTGATGCAAGACGGATTTCAATCGACACAATTAATAGGGCTGGATGGGCACGTCGGGAGACATTGCTGTTGCAAAACCATAGACAGTTCAACGGGTCACTTCAAATGATGCGGGGGCTTATAAATGCAGCGTCAATTATTTATTATTTCTTCGATGCTGTACAGATAGGGAGATCAACAATAATTACGTTATTACACAGCAAATGTCAATGATTTTCGCCGCACGTTGTATTTACGTATAATAAAATACCATTGCAATGATATGGTCTATGATCCACGATTGTATGTTTTTAAAAAATGATATTAAACCTTAACATTTACATAAGTTATAGTTAATATTTTTTTTAATTTCATAGACAATTTACATATTTTTTTTAATTATAATATCTTCGACTTCATACATGTGTTTTTTGTTAACGTCTTGTTACTATGCTAATTGTGATAGTGGAAAATATGCATCAATCTTAGTAATTAATAGGGCATTGCTAAAATACGTAGAATTTTCTATGTTAATTAGAGTTAACATTATAATCATAGTGAACTTTCCATATCTTCATATGAAAAGTCGACCATATACAGTTTATACGAAATTTCAATAAAAATCTCAGTGAGTTATTTCTCTGTAAGATATTGCAAGATAACATAGAATTTGGAGCGTAATATTACCTTAGCACTGACGTAGGTGAAAATGTAGAAACCACGGATATAATATTGCCGAATGGGTGGATTCAGAATTCAAATTACATCTCCTGGGATATGACCTAATATCAGCAGGTTCAGATAGAGTATTCGATGTTTGAATATACATATATATGTATATGTACATACATATACACACGGTACATAAAACTATGTATTTTAGCAGAAAGTATGTTAATAACCTTTTCTTTGGCCAAAAGAAAAAAACAATTTTAGAAATAGAACCTGTAATTAAATAAAAGATGAGATATATATATAAAGATGATATTACTTAATTTCATGTTCGAAATTTGAAATTGCCGCCATAATTTTCACTATGGCTTCTTGTTTTTTAATATATTTTTATGAAGCAAAAATATTAGTTTAAATCGATAAATTGTATTCTGTGGTCCATAGATATGATTTATTTTATTAATTATACATACGATACGAGTGGTATTGTTGTAAGAGCCCACGTGTGAGTATGTGTAGGTGTTCCTGTTTCTGTCACAGTAGATAACAATTAAACTGCAATATGTTAGCATACAATAGCTGTCGACAGTCGATGTGTCGTGTTACTGGGTCACCAGATTGATCTCGCTTACCGATTCAACGATAGTACATCCATAAATCACTAGCGTTGCATTTTGTTTTTCTTGGCTTCACGTATCAATTTATTTCTTATTCCGGATTAAAAAGGAACAACGAAACCCTGTTTTAAAGCAAAGGAAGAAACAAAATTTAATCTCGCCTGCCCATTAGTCTATTTTACTTCTATGCAATGGTTAAGAAACTTTTATCCAGTTATAAGGCAAATTAAAACATAACAAACGCATCTCTTGTATACAACAACCTCTATGTAAGTGCAACAAATTATAGCAATTTTTATTAAAGCATTTCAACACGGCATGTGGTTGCATAGATTAAATTTAAGTTTTATTCTCACTTGGATAAGGCTAATTTTTCAAATGTAGCTCAGGAATTAATATTTGGAAGAGTCACTAATCAAGTTACTACGGTAAAGGTTTTAATACTTTTAACCGTAGTGATTACTTGCTTAATGCTTTGGCTCAGTTATATTGAAATGGGAAAATTTGTAAAACATATTTCTATTTTATTTGCAAAAGGATTCGAAATGAGGGCTTTAAATTATTAAGTAGGCCGTCACTGAAGCTGATTATCATTTAAAATGTCAAGCCTAAGTTGAGTAATTCCTATAATATTTTTTAGAACCTGTTCCTAATACATGTGTTCACCGATGAAGTTTGTAGTACAAGTGTTACATTAGTGATTGGGTTTCGCCTATCTAATCACATTAATATTAATGCACAGTATGTCTTCATATTAATACTCGTATATCCGGTGGTCTGAGGTATGTAGTAAATTATTGCAGCTAACTGAATTATGATGTGTGATGAAAGTGGTGATACACATAAGTGATGATTTATATTAATTTCAATACTTATGTTTAAAAACATATGTAAAAAATAATTTGAAAATTTCATATTATTTCTGTGATCGATCAATATTTGCATTTACACTCGTATCGCTGACATAATAAATTTGTTATACTATAGTTTTTTATGGAGGACATAAAATCTTCATAATTTTTTTAGTATAAAATGTAGCGGGTAATGAATTAATTTCGGCATGCAATAATATGTGCCATTGGTACTGGTATTCATAGAGATGTTTTATAACTGCTGAATTATCCGACTGAAATGAAATTTAATTTAAAAATGTGACAAATCATATAAAGGTAAACAAATAGCGCTGTTTTATGTCTGTTTTTACGCTTACATCTTCTAAAGTACGTAACTGATTTTGACACGGCTTCAACTATTATTCAGAGAATTTCTTTTGAAAGGTTAATATTTAAAATAAGACACACGTGTGAAGAAAAGGCAGGTGGTTAGTAACATTAATAGATTGTTGAATCATTTACAATCAATCGATCACGTGACTGCGGTATTGGATATGAAAGATTGAAAAATGTAATGACAGTATAACGTTTGTAATGAATAATTTAGAACGTGAGGGGAAGCAATCAATTTATAGCGGTCCGCATGACTTTGTAATTGATGTGCGGACAGAGCGGTGTTGAGGGCCGGCGCGTTTGAATGGAGCCAGTTACTTGCCAGCTGATATTACTTACGACACTACTTGTGCTAGTAGTATTAATAATTACGATATTATTGATACTACTAGTACAATAATGATATTATGTTCGAATATTACGTACCTGTTTGATATTTAAATCCGTTCCCGTAAGGTTTCTTTGAATAGATTGCTGTTAGTATGAAGGCCGCGTTATTGTAACTATACATGTATTCTTTAATATATTGTTTGTCTTTTTTTTTATATAGAGAATTTTCAATTTATCTATCTATATATTTTACCAAAGGGCAAGTCTTCTTTATCAATTGTTTGAAAAATGTAATTGTCAATTTTGGTATCAATAAATTCTTTAATATAATGGATGTGTCGATAAATATTTTATGATAAATGAAGAAATTTATAGAAATACTAACATTTGTATTTTTTAACAAAAGCAAATTTACTCGCGAAATGTAAAATGTTCACTCCTGACACACACACACACTGACATTTATAGCCTGTGTGTTACTCTTATGTATAAGCTATATTAATGTAAAGTTTTATCAAAATCCGTTCAGTAGTTTTTGCGTGAAAGAGCAGAATATAGCCATATAAAGAACAAACATACAGCCATACATCTATCCATCCGTACTCACGAACTTTCGCGTTTATAATATTAGTAAGATAGTAGAGCAAGCAAGCTAGTAGTTACTTAGCAAGTAGTAAGATGAGATTTGCACCATGTTAGAATCTCACTCTTAATAAATCAAATGTAAAACCTATTACTAGACAACATTTATTACAGTTATTGCATAGTGATATCAAACGAGCCTCCCGAGTTGATCTAAGTGGATCAGTGGTCACCTGATAGATGTGTTTTGTCATTGACGTCGGGCTTTAGACTGCAACAGTTGCTCAAACAAGCTCACACTGGTTTATAGGTCAGTTTATAAAGTTTTCATTGGTTGCTTTAAACTTTAGACTACCGAGGTAGACATGTTACAGAATCATCTGACCACTCTGGTATCCACCTCTATTTAATTTTTGTTTTTAAAACTTGTTGTGATATAGCACTGAAATTAAAGGGTATACAGCCATGATACCTTAGTTCTCAATAATAGTAACGCATAAATGCTACCGTGGCCGTCACATTATAACGTGATATCCAGATATTTACCATAAAGTAGGCCGTCAGATATTTGCCTTTTTAGCTGTAAGAAAAATATTTTCTCCGGAGTGTTATAT